TGTTATATCGGTGACCTCAGGGCGACGTTATCGCGGGGGGTTGTAACTGATACAACCAGCGGTGGGCCGCTACGCTACACTACGCTACGGGCCCATGTAGCGTTAGCGTTGTGGTATGTCCATACCTTTCCATGTACCCTCATTTTTCACAGCATTTTACATATATTCTTCCCATTATTATTTCATATTCAGATTCTACACATTATTTCACCCCTAGTCACCTCTTACAGCTTTTCAGTATCTCTTGTAGTTCTCTAGTTATCATCCCCTCAGTATATTCAGAGTTACAGAACAGTACATCACTTTATACATACAGTACATATACATTACACATTATATAGTTACAGTCTCTATGTAGAATCACTCATTCATCATGGTACATCACCATTACTACATACTACACTACATATTCAGCATAACCATAATTACATACATCAATCAGGATAACCTTAACTACATTACATCATGTACATATTTCCTTTCACACTGCTTTGACTTTCCATACCTGATTAACACTTGTATACACAGAACATCTGTCACTTAGCTACATTATTTCTCATCACTCATTACTGTTTAAGACTTATATTACCCATAGCCAGGATTTCCCCAGCCATGGTGCTTTACTGTTGTATGTACATGTTGTACACTTATATACTCCTTCTTCCTCCTCATGTATTTTCCCCCTTATGCTATGTACCTTGCCTGAATTATCTTCTAACCATAGTCTTAGAAATCAGAAATACTAGTGTCACCCTTATATCTTTACCAGATATCATTGCCAGTTATATTTGCCAGTTATACATCCCCCCTTGCCAGTTATAAATCCTCATTTGCCAGATTATCCCCTTTGCCAGAGTCATTCCTCATTGCCAGTGTTACACCCTTACCAGTATTATCCCATCACACCTCATTTCTCCTCCTCCTCACACCTCTGTAGGTACTACATACACAAGCTCATCAGTAATAATAGTCTAAGATAAAGTAGAAATCAGCCACACCTCTATTCTTCTTTTTCTTAGTGTTACACTCTTCCCATTAGCATTGTACAGGAGGGCAGCCTCATCAGCACCTGTAGTCTCAACTTACATTAGTACTAGTGTAGTTGTCTATATCCCCTCCAAGCTCTATCTCCCTGGTTGAGTAGTTCCACAGCGTAGCGGCACCATTTTTTTTTTTGCGTAGTGTTAGAGCGCCGCTACGGCCGCTGCGCTACGCTAATTTGTAGCGGCGCTAACACTCACCAATTTTTGGTGTAGTGTTAGCGCGCCTCTGGCGCCGCTACGCTGCGTTACGCTACGCTACAGCATTTTTAGCGGCAAAAACGCCTAAAAACCGCTAAAAACTGCTGTAGCGCAGCGTAGCGGGCGGTTTTTTGCGCCCTGCGCGCGTAGCGTTAGCGCAGATGGGGGGAATTGCGCTAACGCTACGCTAAACGCTAGCGCAAGTTTTTTCCCCATGCGTGTAGCGTTAGCGCAGAAAATGAGAAAAGCGCTAACGCTACGCTAAATTGTAGCGGTTTTTCACTACACTACGCTACGCTAACGCTACAGTTAGCGTAGCTGGCCCACCGTTGATACAACCCCTTTCGCCGTGAAATTAGCATCTCAAAACATCTATAACAACAATCCACACTCTCAAGCTACACACTCAAATAACAAGTCCTGAACTTCAATTTGGTGAGAAGAATAACCCTCATTTGGATTTATTTCTTTTCTTCCTTTTCTCTCTAATTATGTTTATTAATGGTTATTCTTTCAGTTTTTTTATCCTCCTGGTGTTCCTGTCCTTAAAAATAAATAATCAGTTGTCTGTCTCAATCTTAAAGATACATTCAGGTATGCTTTAATCTTTTTGGGTCTCTCACATCTTTTCTTTTCTTCTCTCTAATCTTGTTTTTTCTTCTAGGTCTAGTAGTTTGGTTTTAGCAATCTTATTCTGTTATTTTATCATGAGGTAGTTCCAAGAGGGTTGAAATGAACTCTTGAAGATACATTATTGCTATAGCTACTTGCTGGCTCCAATTGGCGTGTCCTTGAGGTATAAAGTTGAATAACAGAATCCAGAGCAGTCTTATATCCTTTGCAAGTAATGTTGGTGGAGTAAAGCTTGTGCAGTGATGCTAGAATTTCTTGATGCTTCTTAGTTATTGGATCTAAGGTGAGGGTGTCAGTTCTGCTGTGATTTTGATCTTCAAAGGGTTCTTCATTGTTTGCAGGGTTTTGATTATTTTGGTTGATTGCTGTCTCTTCATTCCTGGGCAAGTTGTTTTGATCTATGTTGGTTTGAGGATTTGAATTGTTCTCTTCAAGAGTATGTTTGTTGAGCACAGTTTCCTCTTGTCAAAGGTGATTTATCTTCTTGACTGATGTGTGTTTATTCTTGGCCAAGTTGAGTTTCTTCTTGGCTGGGGTGAGTCTCTTCTTGAATGAGTTGAGTTTCTTCATGGGCAATTTCTGTTTCCTCTTGGACAAGTTGTGTTTCTTCTTTGATCATTTGAGTTTTTCCATGGTGGATGTTATCTTGGTTGGGTTGACCTTCCTCTTGATTGAGTTGAGTTTCTTCCTGATGCACACCATCTTTTTTAAGTTGAGTTTGTTCTGGATGGGTCCAAATTGGGTTTTCTTTTGTCTTTTGATTTTGAGGCAATGATTTTTCTGAACCAGGGGTTGACTTGTGACATATCTTTTTGGTTGATTTATTTGATGCACTAGAGTGAGTGCATGTCTTCAGGAGATTTTGATGGCCAACTTGAACTACTTCTTTTTCTAGAGGTTTCTCTCCATTCTTCACAAGTTGAAAAGAGGAAATAACAACCATAAGTATAACAAAAAAGGGGAAAGTAGAAATGAATCAAGAATTAATATAAAAGTGATAAAAAACTTATTCAATCATTGAGAGGATATGCACTTACCAGTTTCAAAAACCTTTTCTCTCACCTGAGCATCACATGCTGTTAAGCCCCCAAAAATGAGGTCTGTTTTTTTCAAAGCTAAAACACAAGAATCAGAGAATGTCTTGTTTATCTGAACAGAAAATGCAAACCGGGAGAAAGGGCTATCTGAAGGCTTCTGGGACTTGACTGTCTGGTGATAAAGGAGATTTGAGGCCTGGAATAGTTTCATCCATCCATCTACTGAATTGAAATCAACTACATTTGATATCCCTGGAAGCAACGGTGTAACTGATGTGATGCATGCATTGGGCCTGTGTTGTATTGCATCGAGTGGGCAATGTGGGGGCCCTGCATTGCATCACCTGCATTGGAAAAATTGATGCAGGGTATTGGCATCACATCAATTCAGCGATTTGATGTGTTGCACAATAATTTTGGTGCATTTCCCATATTTTTGGTGTGCATTGCCAAAATCAGCATGCATTGCTTTCCAATACAATGCCAATGCAAGGCATCACTTTTTCAATGTGATGCTGTACATCACTAAAATGATGTGATACTGACACATGGCAAATTATTGCATTGCATCGTATTGTTTCAACGTTGCTGGAAGAAAGAATTGTCCATATTCAAAAATTGAATCCATCTGCTTGATCAGATGCTGGTTTCCCAGTCTGTTGAGTTATTCCACACCATCCTCACGTTCCAAATGGGCCGGGTTTGGGTCAAAAAATGGTGACCAAACCCGCCCCGCCAAATTCTCGGGGCGGGGCGGGTTGGGGCAAAAATGGCAAAATGTTGACCAAACCCGGCCCAAATACACGGTGCCTTGGGTCGGGTCAGGTCCGGGTCAACCCAGCAGATAATCAGTTAATTCCTTGCAATCAGGTCATTTGGTCAATCTCAAGCCGACCCAAATACAATCCGTCCTGATCATACCCGCCCCGACGACCCGTTGGGTTGAATCCGGGTCGGGTCAATTTCCAACCCTAGCCTGCTCAAACCCGCCTTGTGACCCGGCGGGTCGACCCGACCGACTTGGATCCTGACACCATCCACCATAGGAAATTGAGCTGACATTGTTTTCAATGTGGGCATCATTGTAAAACTCACCTGTGAGTTTTGATGCATATCCTGAGGGACTTTAATCAACCCTTGGTAATTTGAGAAGAAGATTTTTCCAGAGATAATAATCCTATTTGGTTTCTATTTTAGCTGGAGTATAAGTACCTGATTACAATGATTGGTACATATGGTAGGATAACAAGGTAGAGCAACTGGACCTTGTCTCCTCCTCTCCTGCATGTTATCAGGCTCCTCTACTATATATGTGGTTGATCAAGCTGGATCAGCTCAAATAACTGCTATCCATGTGGTACAACAGTTCATTTTAGTAGCATAAAGGCGTAAATAAGTGGGTATGTATTGATGATATCAGTCTTCTCCTAAAGAGGGTGCTTCTCAGGGTCTTTTGTGAGTGGGCCAAGCCTCACAGGTCGCAGGATCATAATAGATAGAGAACTGTATCAGGTTAGCTGGTGTGTGCGTGTGGGAGGGGGAGGGGGGTCCGAGGTCGATAGGATGATCAAGTCAAAGTGAACGGCTGCTTGATTGGATGATGGGTCAAGCTGGAGGTCGGTCGTAGGATGATGACTGTTCGGTCTTCCGTGATCTGGTTGGGATTTGTCGCAATCGGGCAGTTCCTTGCTCTTGTTGGACTGGCTGAGTTGTGTAATGGACGCAAAGTCTGGTCTGGCTGGATGTGATCACTTGCTGATCTGGTGGGGCCTTTTATTATGTACACCATTTTATGTAGGATCGGAGGACAAAACATGTTGAAGGTTCTGTACTTTAATATGTACATTCCAGAGTTCATGTCCTAGATTCAATTGGGTTTCTGCCCGGGCAATTGGGAAAGAGTGAAAAAACCTTGATTTGCTTATAAAGCAGCTTATATTATTAAGATTGCCCCCTGGCCCACCCCTGTCCATTCACCCCCCTCCTCCTTCTTCTTTACCCATCAGTCACTGAGCTCATCATCCCATCAGCACCCATCGGTCAAGAGGTCATCCAACAACTCACTCACTCACTCACTCACTCGGCTTCGATGTCATCTGAGAAAGCCTCCCAAGAACCTGCAGATTCACTCCTTACTAAAGATCCAGTTCAAATCCAACATCACTCAGATCATCATCAATCTCAACCAGTCAGCCAATCAAACAATCACTCCCTACCAATCCCCCAACCTCTCTCAGCCTCATCCTCATCATTTCCCAATTCCAACGACCACCAGGTCCAACCCACAACCTCACAGTCAAACACTCATGTCAATCCAATCACCGGTCTCATTCGCAAACAGACTTGGGTCTCACTACTCACCCCTGAGAAGAAGCTATCCGAATCAAATCCAACCTACAAACAATCTCTCAACGCTATCATCAGATCATCCTGTTTGTCAAATCAGCATCTTTCAAACCACAAATTTTCAAAAAAAAAAAAAATCTCATAAGCTGACTAATCAATCAATCCAAAACTCTCTTGATTTTAATCAAAATTTCCTACCGCAGGGCTCAACGTACTCCTGATTTTCATTCCAATCTCATGGATCCTTCATTTCGTCACACCCAATCAGGATGCTGCCATCTTCACCACCTGTATGCTGGCTATCATTCCCCTGGCCAAATTACTTGGCTTTGGAACTGAAGAGATTGCCATGAGGGTTGGGTTTGTAGCCATTCATTTATTCTTGACAGCTTAAGTGATGCCATACTTAACATAACTACCCCTCATCCCAGTCAAACCCTCGGTGGACTGCTTAATGCAACTCTGGGAAACGCGGTAAGCTTTCCAGTCTGCCCCCTTGACTCTAGATTGAGCGCAGACTGACCTAGTTGCGTTTTTTTCTTCTTCTTCTCAATGGTCTACATAGGTCGAATTAATCGTCGCAATCCTTGCTTTGGTTAAATGTGAACTGGTGGTCGTACAGTCGTCACTATTGGGTTCCATCCTGAGGTGAGTCGCCCATATCCATTATGTTCATATAGTTAATTCACCGCTAATCACCACTTCCATCGTTTTAAACCCGCTATGAAGTAATCTGCTATTGGTCTTGGGGATGTGCTTCTTCGCAGGGTAATGAGCTGCACGCATCTTATTGCCATCAGGCACATCATCAGCTAATATCCCTGATTATAACTTCTTTTCGGAAAAAAAAAATCTCAGAGGCGTACGATTTTCCGAACAAGCATTTTCCATCACCGCCGCTCAACTTAATTCATCTCTCTTGATAATGAGTGTCATTGCTATACTGATCCCTGCAGGATTTCACGCGGCATTCTCTAATTTGAGTGACAGCGTAGAAGGACCAGACGTATTGAAAATGAGTCGGGGGATTGCTGTAATCCTCTTGATCATCTATGGTTGGTCTTCTCATTTTATTTTTCTGATTTCACGTCGGAGCTCGGGTAAACTAATCAAGTATGATATCATGAAATCCGCCATCAGCTGCTTATCTCGTTTTCCAACTCTGGTCCCACGCTCATCTCTACACTCAAACTTCAACTTCAGCCAATGAACACGAAGGTCATACAACCTGGAGAGGCCACAAGATCCTCCGACCATCCAATTCTGTTCGCGCTCAACAACATCCTACAATCATCCAGAACTCCGCCGATGGGAGTAGTCACCCAGAGCCAATGGAAGAGGAGGATGAGGAAGAAGTACCGTCTCTCAATGCAGTATCGGCCATCATCCTCTTGGGACTTTCCACGGCTCTAGTCGGTGTTACATCAGAATGGCTTGTTGATAGTATCAATGGCATCACTCGGACCGGCGTGATATCCGAAGCTTGGGTTGGATTGATCCTGTTACCCATCGTTGGCAATGCCGGTTTGTAGTTCCCTTTTTTTCAATTACCTCAACCGATTAAGCTGAACATTGGTGATGTCTTACAACTTTAGCCGAACATCTTACCGCTGTTTCAGTCTCAGTAAAAGACAAACTTGATCTATCGTCAGTCCAAACATCTTCAGACTCGCCCCATCATCTGTTCTAATTATACAGTCTTATTTGTTTGTGTTTGAACATCCTTCAGCATGGCTGTTGCTGTCGGTTCTTCCATCCAAATCGCCCTTTTCGTTGTCCCACTTCTCGTTATCCTTGGCTGGATCATGGACAAACCATTGACTTGTAAGTTTTGGAAAATACATCCCTTTGAGACACGCCTCTGTCTTTGTATTCTAACATTTTTTTACGCTCGGGGGTCTACTAGTGCTTTTCGATCCATTTGGTAAGTTCAACTCGCCGCCAGCAACTTGTTTTGTTTTACTAACTAGAGCCCTTGGTCGGATTCCTTAGAGAGCATAACTTTGTTTTTATCAGTATTGATTGTCAAGTAAGTTTTACATATTCTCCTGCTTGGTTTCCAATTGATCTAAACACATTCTGACTCGTGTTATCTTTGTCAACAGCTACACGTCAGTTGCTGTGTTCTCCCTATTTTTTGATCGAGTCTCTCAAAGATATGTTTGCATTTGAACAGCATCCAGGACGGCCGAGCGAACTGGATAGAAGGCTTTATCTTGATGTGTGTTTATGTCATTGTGGTAAGTAAAATATGCGGCTAGTTTCTACAGTCCTTAGTGATAGTTCAAACAACTGATTTATCATTTGCTACCTAGGCCGTTGCTTTCTTCTTTGTAAGTTTTAAGCTTGTTTTTTGCGACACCAGATGATGCTAATATATGCACTCAATTATTTTCATTAGTACCCCTCCAATGCTGCCGACATCACTCTAGGGCTGAAGTGCAATTAACCTGTTCGAACCATTTCTGTAATCCGATTTTCTATCAAAGCGTAAGTTCCATTTAACCCTTACAAACTTTGCACATTCGCATATCCCCAAAATCCATCTCGCAGTCCCGATTAAACTCTTTTGACATATCTTCTTGCATATCAGTCACCTTCCGCACCAGATCAACACAGATCTTGGATGTTGTTGTCATTTGAGCTCTTGCATACTTTTACATAACATCATCCATATGGCTTTTTTTGTGACATGACGCTGTATCCGGAACATGCTCTAAACATTATGAACGACCACCAACGACCGGTTGTGTTGACAAGCATGTATATACATATACATATACTGCGTATCTCTATTATTTGCATGATGTATCCAGTTCATTCTTTTATTCCCAAGCTTCGTCTTCCTGGACATGATAAACGCACCATGTGGTATTTAATGTCTCTGCATTTTATTGCACATATACCCTGTCAAATCAAACTTTCCACAATCTTCCCATCCTAAATTATCCCCAAATGCATTATTTTATACTTATTGATAATTGAAAATAATTCAACTGACAAGATTTAAGATGGCTTGGTAAATTTGGAGCCCAGACTGGCCAGTCACCCCAAGGCCCAACTGTGAGTCGGAAGGATTCAAAGATCCCTTGCATGGACTGACTACAGTGTTCTTGGTTAATGAAGCCAGCTGGTGCTGGTGAGTAAGTTTCTACAGTCTCACTGCTGTATTTCCTCAAGCCCTGATGGTAAAACTGCAAAGCTGATCTTCAGTGTTCTTCATGGAATAGGGTTAGGGTTAGTAGTATTGTTCTGTGCAGTGATTAAGCTCTACCATTCTTCAGGGATGCATATAGTGGAGTTGGAGAGTCTCAATCAGAAGAATGTTGGGTTTGTTCTTCTAATTAACTGGGCTCATTTAGCACTGGTTACATGATGTAGAATTTGATTTGGGAAGGATTATGGATTAGTAATTCATTCTACTATGCACAGCCTCCTTCACTCCTGTCAACCAAGGACAGTTGTTATATTAATGGCAACACAACCATGAGTTAAACTGCTTTTGTGTTGTACATTTATCACTATTTTGCAGCATACAATCCATCGATTTCTTAGTTTCATTTGTCAACATGTTGTTTTTCAACCCATGACGATATCAAAAGTGGATATCAAGACAAAATGAGGAAGAGTCCTATTTCTTTCTTCTTAGACTTTTTCACCAATGGATGACCCAGATGTTTCTTTGTCCACATTGATGTTACAGGATGTTACTGTGACTTTTCTGCTGGAAAACTTTGAGTTATCGATTTGTTTTAGCTACGTAGTATTAATAATGTGATATCCGGTAACAACAGGCAATTTGAACAAGTTCCAGAAATTTATTGATTAGATTGTGTACATACACAGGTATCTCGTATATCAAAACAATTGTTTGATAGATTCAAGACATCCAAATAGTGTCGTTCGTTCAATGCATCAAGACTTTCACTTCCGTCTTCAGCTGTCTTCTTGACGATGTTGGTTTACTGACAGCTAAGCAATCAAGAGACTTGCAAAAAGAAACCGAACTATGCCAACCACATCATCCGATGACAATTGATCTCCAGGGCGGACCTAAGATTGTTGAACCAGTCGCATGATATGGGGGATTCATTGACAATCCAAGACCTTATCCAACACCGAAAGAACCCAATACAACGAGCACTTTCCTCCTGTTCAAAGAATCAACCTTGAAAGGAGACATCGAACTTAGTCCCTTGAGCCATCCCACCCGCGGCAAAGCCCGTGCCTTCCCTCTCGATCTCGATCACTTTGGTGGTGGGTTTATCGCATTTGGGACATTGATCGTCCGATCCTAAGTTGGTCTTGTTGGGCTTCACGAGTGTATTCACACAGACTAAACAAACAACATGCCCACAGGGTTTCAAAACTGAATATGAATCAAACGCATGAAAAAAATCCGTCCGGTTAGTGAATTGTTGAAAATATCAAGGGAATGAAAAGCCTAAATACCTGCGAGTTTGGTGTTTTTGTTTAGAGCTTTGCGACAACCCGCACAGCACTTCAGCGAGTTTTTCTTGGAAGATGAATCGGAGGAGGTGAGCTCTGCTTCGAAATAGACCGCCACGAGGTCTGAAAGCTTGATCGGGTGGGCACGATTTTCGCCCTTACGGTTACTGACGTGACAGAGCGGACGAAGTTGGGAGCTAGGTAGGGCCGAGACCCGCGTAGGTGGAGCGGAGGGAGTGAGGGAGGGAAGCCAAAAGTTAGGTAATTTGGCCCTTCTGGATGCCAATGCCTCCCGTTCTAATGTCTCCAGTGCAGCACGTTCAGCAGCAGTTGTGAGTTCTTCCAGCCGCGGCCCAGCAGCAGAGGTGCGAGCAGATAGACTGTCACTGCTCTTGGTAGTATTTGGCGTATTAGAACTGATTTTCGTCTGCGTAGAGATTCCTGCTTGAGCTCGTTCGAAATCTTGTAGGACTCTTTCCCGAGCAGCAGCAAGAGTTGCTTTTCGCTCGGCCTCTTCTTCTAGACTCATCCGTTCAAGCATGGCGCGTTGTCGCTTCAGATCCTTCTTCTGGCCGAGGATGTGTTCTAGGATGCATTCCTGGAGAAATTTGTTTGCTGATGAGTTATTTAACCGAGAAGTTTCGAATATATTCAAGTAGGCTTGTGTACGCCTACACATAAGAGTTATCCAAACTGACGTGGCAGAACAAGTGTCCTTCTGAATCCACACGGGGGTCCCGAGCCGAATTGAGACATAGTCGACAGGCATCAAATCCGACCATGGAATCTGAAGTAAATCTTTGTGTTTTGCTACCATTTCCAGTCATCATTCGTTCGGCATGAGTGAAGACCGATGACGCGGTGTTGTTTTTACCATGTCGAGCTATGGTAGACCAACGTTTTGATGTGATGGAAAGCAGGTCATGTCAGCCGTTATTAGCATATAAAGGAAAGAACCTAAATCGGTCGTCAAGATGGCGGAACAGAAGAAGGAAAAACTCAACTCATTCTATCAGATCTTCCGATGGTGAATGTATACCCAGAAGCGCTATGTGTGGGGCAATCGTTTTCGATGACGATGTAGTTGAGGAGCAAGTATGACTGCCGGTTCTTAATCGTGAGCTCGTCGTTCCCCCGAATCCACAGATTATGTAGCTTGAGGTTCGGAGTCCCCCGTCCGCTGATCCACCTCCCACCACAATTGGACAAAATCACAATCTTGGCCGCTCCTATTATGCCTCTATAGCTCAGTTCCCCAAAGGAATTCACCATTGACTGGTGACCCATCATGCAAGACAATACCCTCTTAGTCTGGGGGAAGGTGTTTGGGACCAATGTGCATCATACTTTAGCAACCATAGTTTCATCTGAGAGTTGCTGATCAGCTGAATCAGTTATGGGTCTCAAGTTTAGTTAATTTCAAGCTGAAATTTAGACCCAAGTAATAATAATATTATTCAAGTGTGCAAGAATTAAAAAAGGCTATCTTTATCCCCCTCCCCCCCCCAAATACATCAGCTGATTTGTGGTTGGAGGTCCCTATAAATAATGACTTTTGAAATTGGACCATAAATCTGCAAGCATGAATTCAGACATTCAGGTTGCACTGGCAGCTGGCGAAACCTTGATAATGTGACTGGCCTTGACGAAGACAGGTACCCCCAAAGTTCTGGGGATAATTGTGCCCCATCATTCAAGCCAGGTATGCATGTGATGTTTATGATACCCTCAGTTATGACTCAAGTGTGTTACAATTGACACCAAACAGTCAAGATAGCATGAGTACAAGACAGATAATAGCTAACAATATATGGCACTTGAGGTCAGGACTTTATACTTGACTGCTGGGTTGATGACCACTGAGCTGGCTGTTGTGAACTGCTCAGGCTGAATGATTATTATTTTGATGGAGGAGAGGCCTCCTACATAATCTTTCCTGATGGATTCTTGCTAGTAGGGGCTGCACTTGTGAAACATTTGTTATTTTTGATGTTAAATTTTGAATTCAACCTTGCCCAACTGCAAAGATACAACCGTTTTTTTCTGGTTGTGACAGGTGAAATTTCCTTGTACCTTGTCTGCATGAAATGAGCTTATTTTTATGATGGTAAATGGTGCATTTGGAATGTACCTTTACCTTTGATTTACTGCATAAATTGGACAATTTCATCTAGTGGGTTAAAGGACAAGCTTTTTGTTGGGCTATTCATGTTCAGTTTTCTCTCTGTTACAAATTTTCTCTTATTTGACATCATGCAGTATACCTGTGACAGCATTTGTGCAAGGATTCTCACCTCATCCTTCCAGTCCACAAACAATTTTCCATTTACAGTAACCTCACCCCATGTCTGCTGCTGTCAGGTAAAGCTTTTCTTGCTTTGATTTCCTTTTCATTTTTCTCTCTAGTGTTCTTTATTCTATGTGAAACAATATTCCTTCCTTCCATAAACATCTTCCAGTCACCTCATGTTGTGACTGCTGCTCTCAGTCCCTTTCTAGCTATGTATCATCATTTATTCCCAAAATCCAATTTTGAGATTTCCTCTTCCTGAGGGTGTTTTGGGGCTTCAAAAAATAGGCAAAGTTGGCCCCATGATCCATCTTTGAAGTGATTTCTTTACATGTATCAAACAAGCACAAATCATTTCACTGAAGAATTTACATCAGTGGGGTTCACAATTGAAATTTATCAAATTCCAAAGCCCATTGTAAGCTGACCATCAATTTTTTGAAAAGTTAAAAGGTTTTATGGATTGATCAGAAGAAAAACTAGCTTTTGTTTTGAAATTTTCTTGATCAAGGCCTTAAAGATGGCTATAAATCTATAGGATTTTCAATCACAAACCCCAATGTTGCAGCAATACTGAAATGAATACAATTATATATTTGTATTTTTGTGTATTGTATTGAAATACATTACAATGCACAGCTTTTCAAAACTGTGTATTCTTCTACCCAACACAATACAATACATGATGTATTTGGGGAAAGACACCCTGTATTGCATTAGAATACATGTATTTCCCATATATCAATACTATTACAATGCACAGTTTTGGAAAACTGTGTACTGGGAAATACAGATACAATAAATTTGTTGAATTTGTTTGAGAGTTGATTGCAGTGTCTAGCATGTAGAAGATGATCCTTTATATGGGATTGCACAAATTTTTTCAGGAATGAGATTTTAGATGAAATATGGCTTACCACAGTGAACCTCCCCATGTTCTTCAACCACCAGCTGCATTGTTAACACCAACTGGTATATGATGCATGACTTCCAGTTAGCATTTACAACCCTCCCCGGATCTGATTTACACCTCTAAGGTCTTGATTTTTAGGAAAAAATGAAATTTTTTCAGAACCCTTGGAAGAATATTGCTCATGTGAGCTGGTTGTGATTTTTATTAAAATGTTGAGTTCAAGCTGAGAGGGGTCTAAAAAGCACTCTCAATGGCAACTGGAAGTCCTCCAATATTCTTTTTTAATATCATGCATGGCAACTGGCACCACAAGCTGTAATACAGGATTCCTGGAAGTCCAGAACCACAGAAACATGGCAAGCTGTAATACAGGATTCCTCAAAGTGCAGAACCACAGTTCAAGGTTCACTATCTTGTTGTATTGTGTTTGGCCCATGTATGTTTAATTGACAAGTTAATTTAGAACCTTTCAGGTGAAAGTTGCTCACAGAGGAGGACCTCTTAGATGGAATGAGAATAGGTTGGGATTGAAATATGATAAGTGGTCAAAGGAGTGCAGATTTGTGGTCAACAGAGTTGTGCTTTCAGGCCTGATTTACATCTGAAACATGCTATCCCATGCAAACAGACCAACTTGCCAGGAAGAAAGTCAAGATGGTGGGGATTGCTATGGCACAACCAAATTTCCAATAAGCTCAGTACAGACAGAGGAAAATTAAATGAAGCTTACATGAAGGTGTAAACTATGTTCTTAATTCTGAGTGCGACATGGGTAACTCGGGGAGCTTCGACCCGCTGAGTGAGAGATCATCCAGTTTGATGGGCAGGGTGTTTCAGCACCAGTGTTTCACCGGGGTGCCTCAAAAATTCAAGGATCTGCTTGCAAAGATAAAAGAGAATGTGATGAGGGAAGTGGCACTTGGGCGGTGCCCCAAATCAACGCAGTTTTCAGGGTCCTCAACCCTTAAAATCTCTTCATCATTGGTTGAGGTCTTTGATGTGGTTGTGTCACATTTACTTTGGTGACAGACAGTTTCAGAGATCAAAACACAGGGTTTCATGGTAGAAGAGATAATTGGCACTTCTTTGTGGTCTTTGTGCTCTCCGGTGGTCTTTGTACTCTCCGGATGTAAACTAACAGTCAGGCGGTAGACATTCAGGTACTTACCACTCAAGCTAGGGTTAGGGTTAGGCTAGGACTTTGGCTTGTTCTGGTGAACAGGGTTGGAAGCAATGGTAAGAGCAAAGAACCACGTCTCACGAGGCAAAACGGCACGAGAACGGGTAGGTTGAGTAATGCACACGCAGGGGGACGCGACACAGTAAGATTAATTTCTGGAGATAGATTGAAATCTTGAAATCGTTTATGGATAAGACGTCGCACAAGAGAGTTTCATGAGGAGAAATGGAGGTAAGAGAAAACAAATGATGACTTGACCCCGGAAGGCTAAAGACAAAAACTTAGTCGATCGTGACACTGTAGCACTTTGGCGGGGGGGCAATTAGCCTAGGAACTAGTATTTGAGAATGATGTAAAGGGCGTGAATGATCCCGGGAATGTAACCTAGAATGGTGAGCAAGATGTTGATCCCTGTGTGAGAGAAAGAGGAAAAGGGGACGATGGTCAACATGTAGATTCTATATGGAGGATGAGCTGCTGTTGGAGAGGACTCTCGACGTACAAAAATCGGCGACGCAGCCTCGCTCGAGGAAAACTCCAAGCGGTGGGAGAACGATGGCCAGGAGGATCTTGCAAATGTCAGACTGTGCAAGGGCAAAGAGGAAAGGAGAAAAGGGTATGTTTTCAGTGTGAATCGACGAATCAACTGAGACTCTGGACTGAGGAAACACTTACGGCAGTGAAGGGCATGATGGAGATTGGATGTTGTTGTTGTTTGGGGCTGATTGGGTTGTGGGCTTGAGGATAAGTCGATTGGAAATCTGTTGTGGTTCTGGTGTGGGTGGTGGGTGGAGCGACTGCTGAGGAAGGGGGGCAGGAGGCTTTTGTAGCCGAGCCGGGCGCTGGTGAACTCTAATCCCTTTGGGGGAGGCCAAGGGAGGGGCTGTGCTCAAGCTGGTGCTTACGTAAGGCGCATACCCTCAATCATGCATTTCCATGCCAGAGCTGTGTACTGGGACGATCAGCTCTCACACCGGCAATTGCGTTGGTCCCAATATGAGGACTGAATGACTCAAGAGACCCTTGCAGGTTACTCCGGACCCTGACTAGCCCTAGTGACTGCCTGTTGGGCGGCGGTTTGCAGACTCCGAAATGGGTCATCACTTCGTCAGAATTCTTGTCAAGAAAAGTCGACGACTTCATCATGCAGGGTGGGCTACGATGTCCAGATAGGTCCAGATATGCTTCACACATACATTTTCCAAAACGGCCACTTCACCGGCGGGGTGCATTCCACATCAGCTAACCTGACTTGAGATCATAGACCACTGACAATGATCACGACAATTCATCATTGATGATATCACGAGTATTAATGTTTCCATGGTTTTGTATTATGAATCACCAGGTTCCACTTGAAAAAAGGTCGAAACATCAGGGCCTGTACCACAGCCCCAATTTTCAGGTCAATTTCCCATAATTTCCAGGTTGGAAATTGACCCTGCCAGAAATGGGGTATGATGCACACCCAAATTCCCACAGTACAGAGGCCAGATTTTCAGTGCCAACTCCAAAATGAATTTTGGTTGGTGAAAAATAAAAAGACCAAAAATGAAAATGAAAATGAAAATTGGCTGGGGTGCTATGGTACAGACCCTAAGAAAATACAACCAAAAATGTGGTAAATCACTGCAGCAAGAGTAAAGTGTCCAACCAAAGGCAGGTGAACTGCATCCATCCAAGCAACTCAAATAGCCCCACCTTCTAGACCTGGGAGGAGGGACCCTTGCCCTTGCAAGTTGCATCTGGATCAGGTTGGGGTAAGGTGCTGATGAACATAGACCTAGATGGGGTGACCCATGGTAGAATGGGTCAGATTTTCCTCCGGAAGTTTGACCCATGGTTTGACCCAATACAGCTAGTTCCAGAAAGGTTGTTTTCATTGGTGTGGAATCTGGATTTTCCTTCAAAAACAACCGCTGGATATACCAATTTCACAGGCAAAATCAAACTCAAACAGCCTTTTTGCATTAAAATTACTGTTTGAGCACAAGTTTGTAGATGGATTTGCAAACTGAACCTGGAAATCTCTTGATTTCTGCTTGGAAAATCCAGCTCAAGGTGACACCTTTGTGGGATTAGATGTAAATTTTTTGTCAGAATTATACTGATCTATTTTTGATTTTTTGTTACTCCCGCAGTAGATGTAGTACTTGAATTTGAACCAGAGAAAAAGAGAGACTAGACAAGATTAGGTTTATTGAATGGACAAAGACGCACAATATAGGGGACTCAAGGGCTTATATCATCAAAGATCCAGAACAATGTGTTTATTTGATAAAATCAATCAGAGACAATATTGAATAAAAATGAATGATACTGGATTGATCATTTGTATACTTAGCAAGATATCCTGCCTACAAGAGTGATATGATAATAAAATTAGCTTGGTTCACATAGGATGCTTTTGAGAAATTTTTCTAAAATCAATTCTGTTTGTTGTCTGAATTGTTCTCCTTAAATTGTGTTTTGTACGGAAACAAGAGTTTAGCAATGTGCTGATAAATTCTTTCTGTTAAATTTTATTTGCAAATAAGCAGGTATGCAAACTGGGCTATTGTCCCACCTGCTAAGAAACATCACCTTCAAATGATCTAATGAATGAGAATGAGATTTATTCAAGTTGTACAATGAGTTGAAAGGGAAGACTTCTTGACAAATAAACCCAGAACCTAATTTTTCAATCAAAAATATCATGCCTGCCAATCACAACCCATACTCCCCTCCAAAACAGGCCATTTGGAACATTTGCACCCCATGACCCCTCTTGGAAAAATAAAGAAAAACATCAATCCAGAGGCTCAAGGGCTAAACCTGGGGTGAACCTGCTCTAAAACAAGAACCAGTTCTTCCTTTCTTGGGTTTGAGTGGATTGCAGTTTTCAAAAATGTGACCTGAATCAACCTGTCCCATCTATTTCTGGGTTGGGGAGGGTCAGCATTTTTATGACCCAAACCAGCCCATCTCCGCCCCTGTGCATAATTTCCAAAAAATCTCTTTTGGAGGGGCAGAGGGGCTCTGATTCATGGAATTCTATATTTATAATTTCAATTTTAGGTTATTGGTTCATTAACTTGAGGAAATGAGAAATTGGAAACAGATCACTAAAATTTTGACAAAACATGTTATTGGGTCAACCCATGGGTAGCCCATTTTATGAGTAAATTCCAACCCAGGTACAATTGGTCACCCAGCTGGGTCTATATTTATCATCCCTGCCCCGACCTGACCCAGATCCAAGCCAGGTTGGATTGATCCAAACCATCCTCACCAGTCAACTACACCCACCTTGACTCCTGTGCAGCCCAGCCCAATTTCATACTGGAGCATATGAATGGGACAGCTTCCCTATAAACATAAAGAAAGTGACCTAGTTAGATTACAGATGAGCACATAAACGGGACAGCATTCTCCTTACCAAAAAATAAATGTGTACATCAAGTTCTTATTGATGAATGAGGCTATGGAATAGATTTGACAGTCATCCTGTGGTGGAATTGTCAGTTGTCCTGGAAGAGCAGCCTCATAGAATTGACCCACACCATGTGCAGCCCTGTAGATTTTGTCGGTGAACATCGCTGGATTTGAATCGTAGTTGTCTGCAAATTTTCGTATCAAAATCCGTAATCGCGGCCAGCCCCTCGTTGGACTTGAGTTTTACCCGCCATGAATCAAGGAAAGGAACCGAATACAGGTGACCACACAAATGCGTCATCGCGTCGCAAGTATCGTAGCGTTTTTCGGCCTACAGCTGTAGGAAACAGGATCCCTGACCTGAGCGAATCGGTACGTAAAATTCCGCTAGCATGCTTCTGTGAATGATTATCCACTTCTTCTAAATCAACATCCGGCGCGTAGCGTAGCGGTTTTATTGGCGGTCGACAAAAGGGTAGAGCCCCATTACTCCTGCTCCCCACCCAGCTCTTCAGCATCACGACATGTATAGGGTCAAAGGTTTGAAAAAATCAGCAGCACACGGAGATGTGCCATGTATAAATTGTTTCAAACTTCGTCATTTTTCCAATCAATCGTTTCACTACCGTCGCCTCCTTAATTTTCGTGATCTGACGACTCATGCCGGAAGAGAACAATCCATCACTAGAACGGTTTCAGGCAATGGGACAGGCCTTGCGTGGGCTCTGGAGCATCCCTTTCATTTTACCTTAAGACTCGGGCATGGGGGCAGCAGATGGCCGCAGGGCAAATTCCAACCCTCGTGTAGACTTCGAGAGATATACCCCTCACGCTATATCACACTAGGAGGCTCAACATTATCTATCTTCGTTGCTGTGCAATATCAAGCAATTCTTCCTTACGGATTGTTCTTTCAAGTAAATACCAATACTACCGCCCTCCAGCGCTTGACAAAAGGTTGTCGCATATTACAAAGAAGCAGAACTCACGCATTTCCAAATTTTAGCTAGCCAAGACTAGAGGCGAAGTGTTCACAAAAACATCTTGGTTTCTGCGGCCTGATCACGAATCCACGATAGATAATTTTCTTGAAATCTGGTTAAATCGATTTTCCTAAATCTTATTTGAAAACACCAAAATCGACTCAAGGAAACAACTGACAAAAACCAACACAAGGTTTTGGCAGCAGTTTATTCGAAAAAGGCTTCAACTACTTCGTAGCACGCAGCGCGTGTGGATATCTATCAAGCCTGAACAAACTTCCCGAATTCTTACGCAGTTTTAAAATAGATCTCGAGGGCAAATTTGATCAATAAAAATCTCACTTTCGTGTTGCTCAAATAAGAAATCATCAAGAATTATAGAAGATGCCCATCATTGGCGAGTTGGTTTATCCGAATATCTACGTTACAATCCACCTGCGCCCCGGATTTCGTCCTGTCCGGTTCCATTGGACTATCTTCATCCCACAACCCAACGAGGGAACGCGACAAAGTTCTTCAACAGGCGTCAAGTACCACGTCATCGATCTGTCCCGCGAACCGTTTTGGGCCTACGAAGTTGATTGGAATTTCAACCTTGGGGATTGCCTGTCGGTTGGCGCTGCGGTGGTGATCGGAAAGCTAAGGCGGCCCTGGGGAACAAGGGAGATACATGAGCTCCTATCCACTCGAGTACCACTCAATGTCATTCCAGAAAGAGACATCGGAAGAGAACCAAGATTTTCCTGCAGAGTTTGGGTCAAGGAGGCTATCAAGGTGCTTGACTGGCATGGAGTATTACAGTGTGACGATGTGGACGAGCTTGAATACGAAATCAAGGCCTTCGGGGAGCGCGTGGTGGCATTTGCAGAGCATGGTGTCTTTCGCGGTGCTGAAGTTTACTATTCCCAATTCAGTCGATAGATGGTGCGATTATTCTTCTAGGTGATCTCGGAAGGATGCGGGAGTACTGGTTTATTGCCGCTTTCCCTTTACAATTTTAGAGGAATTAGCTAGAAACATTCATATAGAAGTTTAAAAAGGCTACAGCCATCTGGCGAAACCTCCATCATTTCATTTCTCATTGCTGGGCTTCGAGTATTGGTATGTATGTTAGTTCAGACATGAAATCCTTATCAAGTCACTTGATCAATGCCTCTGTTCACTTGTAAGCCGGTTTTAGGAGAAATAGAACGATATCAGAAATCAAGATAGGTCTTGCATTAAAGGGGTTGAATCCCAAACCTCATGAGTGATGATTTAACCACCTATCCCAAGCTGTGGCCCGTGGGCCCTGTTGCTGGTGGGCCCATTGCTTTGGTAGGAGTCCAAAGGATAAATTGACATATGCAGTTTGTTCTAGTTTGAACAAGGCCTGTCAAGCAGAGGGTACAAGCTCACTTTGCATAAATTTCTGCCACCAGGAGAGGCTTCTACTAGAAGAAAAATAAAGAAGCTTCCACAATTTGTCATCTGGAAACTCTGAGGAATCTTTTGTTCTCACTCAAACTGTCAGCTCTGGTCTCTTATGTGACCAGGAGTTGATAGGGTATTGGGTCACACTATAGCCAAGAGGGCCAGTGGAAATAAGGCTCTCCTCAAGACTGGTACAGTGGAGGGGCTAGCTCCTTATAATAATACGCTAGCTCCTTATAATAATAAGGGACAACTGTGGAATGAGCTTCACAGTGCCTGAGCTGAGTTATTATAAGAGAAATGAGGTTGTACTAGTCTTATAAGTTAAATATGTAACTTAGAAGGCTAGTAATGAAGATAAAGGGAAATGTAATAATTTATGTACAATAGTTTACTGTAAAAACCCCACTCACTATTTATTTTAATATCTAGTAAGGTACTTGGGTTTGTATGGTAATATTGTCTGGGAGATGAATCTCAGTGGAAGAGTCATCCTCTTAAATATTACAGGGCAGGGGTCAAACTGCTGCTGGGACCGGTGCAGTCCCCTTATTGTTACACTATTCCTTGGGGGAAAGTGTCAGGATATTCAGAGCATGCTAAATGTACATGTGCTGAATATCTTTTATTTCAGAAAATACACATAGGAGAGATAAACATAATAATCATACACACAAGAGAGATAAACAGGATAATCATCTCTTGGATACACCCAAGAGATAATTATCCTTTTCAACTTGATTATAATTTTCATGGAAGAGGTAACTCTTTATTAATTTACAAAATATTTATTAACATAAATAATACATATAAAAAAGAATAACATTACTGTATACTTATTAACTTAAAGATTACATATAATAATATTTATTATGTAACCAACGGTGCAACAGAGACAATACGATACGGTATCAGGCGATTATCTGTATCGTCTCAGAATTTGAATACCCAAAAATACCGGATTTGTGTTGTCTCACTTTCCTGAGACAATACCCACGTATTATCTTTGGAAAGTGAGACAAGTATTCTGTATTGTCTCAGATGACTGATCCCACCAAAAACGTATTTGATACATAAGATATTTGGCTGTATTGAAGAAAAAACGAAAAAACGAAGACATTTTTTTCATTTGTCATTCCAAATCTGATACAATATATTTTTTCACCAACCAAGGAAATACTGATACTGGTATCAGGCTCAAAATAGATACAATCCAATCCAATATGAATACATGTCTTGTATCTGTTGCACCGTTGATGTAACCCAAGGGGGTTACATTCTATTGTAGACACCTGGGCTAGTGTCTCAGTGTCTGACACAAACCACACTCAAAGGTTGGCTCAACAAAGCTTCAATGCACAGTCACTGTGCAGCAAAATTCATTCTGGCATTTGTTTAATTAATCTTTGTCTAATTTGTTCATCTTAACTGATCCAACTGAATTGACTACTTGAAATAAGACATTCCACCTGTAATACATGATGTCATACATTCAAGAGCAACAAATCCAGTGACATGGTGCCCAGCCCATGCCCAGCCCACTCTGTGCCATAGTTATCAAAGTGGAGATCCAATTTGATAACAATACTTAACTTTGATCTTGTCTTTCTGACATTGGCTATAGTATCTGTTATTCCAGTAAGACCAATCACCATATTTTTGGGTATTTTGATCAGAAGATCAACTTGACAATACTTTAATTTATCAATAGGAGTACCTGTTTGGCCTACGTAGTACTGTGGATCAGAGATTTGTTGTTCTTTTCAGAAATTTTATTCAGGATGGTTATCCCCGATGAAAGCCAGGGAGCTTCAAATGATTTATAATAGTATACCTCTTCAATGGAAGATGATGGGTTCTAGATGATCTGCCAACACAGAGGTATGGCTAGGTGCATGTTTATCAGTGCATACTTGCTTTTTGAGGAAATTTTCTCCTCTATGAAGGATGCACAAGAGATCATCTTGAGAGGGATCTCATTTTTGAAGAAAGAAACAGATGCACATCTTCATTATGATCATCTCCATTTTTATCCATTTATACCCTTTGATTCGCTCATTGAAATGTGGTATTATTATTAAGAGCCACACTTTTCTTTAACAAAAGGTCTCTCCTCTTCCGGCGGCGTGACTTGACCTGCATGCCATTCTGTGAGAGACCCTGCGGGCGTAAAGGTCGACGGGAGGCCTGTGCTGGGCTCGGGTTGACCCGGCCCGATGAATCATTCATGTGGCATTGGATTGTCATTTGAATTAGAGTTTGGACTGCCGAGTTGAAGACTTGGGCTACACAGGCATTCAAAATGACATGCAGGACACTGGACGGACTGCGACTTTGCTTTTCAGAAAGACGAAAACTACGAGTCTGATCTGTGACGAAGCTCATCAAGTGCTAGTTCATTAAGATCTGCACTGGAACGTTATCCAGCAGGCTCAAGAGCTTCAATCCAGATGCTTGAAAATATGCTGAGGCGACAACTTGCTTGTAAGGGGCTCATGGCCATTAAGTACAAAATACATTGAAGTAGCGCACCCTCTCAGCGTTGATTTCCACCATTATGAGTCGTCATGTCACCCCAGCCCCACTTCAGACGAGGTTTTTCTCCAGGATGTTCATGAAGAACCGACAACTTGGGTTCTTCATTTCCGTGTTCATGTGGGTCACCCTGGAAGTCGACGACGTAGGCTTAAGGCAGTTGAAATCAGTTAGCCAGCTTGATTCGGGGTTGGAAAATGGATGTAGGGGATGACTCACCACAGCCACACTCAGAACATCTTCGTGGTCGAGAGGATGAGACCTTCATGTATAAGGTGTCGTGTGAATCGACTGGGAAGCCAGTACAGCCAACAATACGAGTTCGTTCCTAGAATCCAGGTGGGTGATTCGATCGGTCATTAAACCTCACCGAAAACATAAATAATTAAGATTGATGGGGACGTACGAGTGAAAAAACCTTGACAGGGTTGTCGAGGGTACCCATGTGATTGACGGCGAGAGGCTTGCGATCGAAAGGGTCATGGCCTTCCATACGTGAAAGGATTTCGTATCGTTCGATCCCAGTGGATTGCTCCAAGTCGGTTGGGACAGTTCCGGGTTTCGCACCCGGGCCTTGCATGATTGGTGGTCGGGCATCTAGAAGGAGTGAAGGAGTAGGACCGTAGTTGGTGGCTATATCCCATCGGAGCTAGTGAATTTTTGAACGATCGACTTACCATGATGATCATCACCCTGTGCAATGCGAGATACACTCAGGAATCTCGGGCTACCTCGAAGTGATACAGAGCCGAGGGTTCTGTTGGCGAGGGTGGCTGATTGACGGGTGATGGATGGAAGCAGCATGGTGAGTAGTTTGTTTGAAAAGTTGGGTAGTTCTTCTTGGCTTTGAAGGATTCGTTGTATGTGTGGGCTGTGCTGGGATCGGTGGAGTTGGCGGCGAGGCCTTCCGGATCCACCCAAGGCCCAAGGGGGGCGCAGGCTGTGATAGCGCTGTGACAGGCAGGGTGCTCAACCTGTGCGCGGGCGGCAAGCCCCCGGGCCCCCGGGGGTTTGCTCAAGAAGCCCACTCCACAATGTTTGTAGGTTCGACGGGAAGTCCTCCAGTTGTGTATGTACTCCGATTTCTCTGGAATGATGTCATGCTGAGTGTTTGTCGTATGAAGGATCCAGATAATGTAATCCTGGTCAGTGGTTTGGAAAGACAGCAAAGTGGTTTGGACCAAACTAAATACATTGTTCTGCTCGATGTCAATGTACGTAGACCGCCGAATTTATTATCCGACCTCGACAACTCCAGCCCGGTCAACGCACTCAAGCTTGAACGACCCAAGATCACCTCCATTGCCGCTTTCAGGATCGACGTAGGTCTGAAGGGTAGCATTGGTCAGTTGCTGGCGTCCCAGGTCAAAGTATTCTATGCAAACGTATCCATACATATTTATCTTCTGGTTGATGTATTTATTTGTTATGATCTAGGCTTTGGTACACAATCTCCATTCTACCGTCCCGGCGTTCCACACTATCATTCGTTTGTCGCGCAGGATTGTAGGCGTCGAGTCATCTTGCAACCGCCGTTCATCTCCAGGTTTTCCTCGGTGAAGCATATCAAGACCAAATAAGCATTCAATAACACCCAATGGCCCCACAGGTAAGCAGGTTTATCACACTTGAAGGCTCAGCTCCCAATCTGATAACAAGAAATCATCCCACAGAACACGCGTATTTCACCCTTGGATGAGGCTTTGTCCCTCCTCGGATCGTCCACAGTCACCGATCGGAATCAAGGAGTCGAACAAATCTCTAACTTGCTCACAAACCCTTCTAATTGGAATTCGATCAAGGAATCCCGCTGGGCCGAAATATTCCATCAACTCTTCTCAGCTGCCGACACGGAAAAAGCAGCCATACTCAAGCCATCCAACGCTCGAAAGGGCTCGATCGCCAGGGCTTCCAACCTCAATCGGCTTCGAGCCGCACTGACTTTGATTCGAAAGTGTGTCGTACAATTCGTCTCACTGTTCAAGCACAAGGTTATGAAGCTGGTCATCAATCGTACGATCGAATTGATTGTCGTGGCCAAGAATCGAACTTTAATGGACTCTATCGTTCTTGATTGTATTCGGATCTTGCGAGACTTCTTGTTGTATCGTCCTCATCTCGAGCACCTCGGCCATGAGCTTTCCGCGGAAATTCTCGCGATCTGCTTTGCATCAATCTTGGATCGAAAACTCCCCGAGACTTTCTCGATTCCTGACAACGAGTCATTTGGTGCTGAACCACCTCTAGAAGCCGAGCCGCTCAATCCCACCGATCGATCCCAAGCGGCGAGCCCAAGGATGATTGATTCTTGCCAATTATTATCGATTGTCATTCCCGCTTCCTCATCAGTTTGTCTGGAGTGCTCTAAATCCCTACTGTTCGACTTTCGCAATGTATTGGAAAAATTCCCCCGTGACACATCTGCCCATTTCCATCTGATAACTGCTCTGCATCTGTTACTCCGAGAACTTGAACTGAATAGGGGTAGAGACCTGAGCCGATCAGCCATCCTTCTGGGCAACTGCTTGATCTCTTTGTGGCCGAACAAGAACATTGCCTTGAAAGAACAGATCGTCCTCTGCTTGACCTACCTGCTCCCTTTCGTCATTCGTGAAGCAGAACTCGATCAGATGAATTCTGAATCTCAAGCGTCACCGCAGGCGGAAGACCTGGTCAGGAAAATCACACATGTCATTTCGAATGATGTAGAACTTTACACCAAAAGTTCTTCAATCTCACTCGGTACTCTCCGCTTGGTTGTCCCTCGCAAAGGATTTGATTCATCTTTCTTCTGTACCAAGGGATTCACTCGGACTTCTTGTGATGGTGTTGACGTGGCGATAGAGAGGGTCCAGGCTGTAACTTGGGCAGCATTAAGACTAGGTGCATCTGCTCTCAACCATGTCACCCAGTCGACTCACCAGCCTTCCGCTCGGGGGCCAGAGACTCCCTCAAAACGGCGCAAGGTAAGCAAATTTGTTGTGCTTTCTATAGATTTGTTTGAGTGACCAAAACTACTTTGATAGGTCGAGAGTGAACTAGAAATCTTTCTTCAAGATATCCAACCTGGTTCTCTATCTGCGGCTGTCGTACACCGGATTCAGCTCTTAACCGTAACCGTTGACCTGCATTGGGAAAATCTTGACAACTCATCCCGGCAGAAGATTATTGAAAGGGTACTCGGATTGCTCCAATCAGATGATCCGGTGGTAGTGAGCTGGGCCTTTATCTTCTTTGGCAACACGGCTCATTGCGTGAGAATCCCCTTCCTATTCTGAGGGAAGCCAACACCTACCCCCTGGCAAATGTGCTGACTGTTGGCTTGCCCACTCATTTGGAAGATTGCTCCTCCGGGGAACTCATCATCTTCCTATCAAGAAACGCCGCCCTCTGATTCGTGGGGACCAAACATTGAGCATTGGAAGCAGATATGGTCTTATGCCATTCATCGCACCGCAAACCCAACATGTTCTCGTTCAGCCAGCTACGCAGCTTTCTGCATTCTGGTAACCCATCAACTCCCCGTCCACGCTACTCACGAGGCTATCCACGGATTCTTGCGGGACTTGGATGTACAGGGGCCACCTTTCCCATACGATTCTGTATGCATGCTCATCTCGGAGTGCCTTGCTTTGGCCTCAGAAGATATACAATTATCAGCTTATGCATTGGAAGAAAACGTCCTCAGGTGGCTCAATAAAACGTGGCCCGAAGTTGATCGTTCGACCGCGACTTGCAATCTTATAGGCGGCGGTTCCGCTCAGCGAAATAGGCGAGCTTCAACGGCAGGTTTTGACTCAGAAGCCGTTTTCCAATTACTGGTTTCGATAGCAAAGCTCCCTGAAATCTCACTGCCTACTCCAATGCAAGTACCTCCTGATTGCGCTACAACCGAAGTATTCGCCTATCTGCAAGCCACCCAGTCCACTAGGTCCTCGATCTTTCCTGGCATCCAGCATCATCTGTCTCGGTATGATGCAGACCATTCTTCCGAGCCTCGCAATGTCCGCGCGCGCCTCTCGGTACACGACTCATCTTCTCGTTGTAACTCAAAACTCGAGATAATGGCTATTTTGCGTCGGTCTATGGAAAGGATATCACAAGAATTTGATCAGAAGAACGTCGAGCAAACATTGTCTGCAGTATCATGTTCACATCTACAAATGATTATCAAGATGCTAATAATTGTGATATTGTTCCAAGCCTCATGCCAAGCCTCGGACAGCTCATTTGATTCAGAAATTATAAAATTCATTGTCTCTGTCTTTGACGTAACCATACAGCTAGTTGGGTCGTCCAAGTGGTCACCACCAGAACGCGCGCAACTTTTGGCTTGCGTTGAACCAATCATCTTGCCCTCAGTCAATCGGAGTGCGACAGTCTCATGTGATGGCTTGGCGCGACCAGGAGTGGCATCTGGTATCCGATTGAAGGAGCGCGCAAAGCTGCAACTGGGCAGATTCGATTCGGATGCTAGAGCTTGTCCGGGCAGCGTTCCATTACAACAATACGAAATTGCTGCATCCCAGGTTTGGTCGTTTAGTCCACCCGTGCGGACACAGCTCGATGCATTCTCGAAGATGTGCGAGAGGCTCTTACAATCCGTGTCGTCAGTAGCCGCATCTACTGCGCCTGGGAATGCGATAGAAACATATCTTGTCCAAACTCAAGCCACTGGAACTACAATCAACTTTGAAGAAGAAGAAGAGGAAGAGCTTGTGGTTGGCGATACCCTCCTAGCGCAAGTCGAATCAACAATCTGTAATTCTGATGGCTCCATGAAAAGAAACTTTCGTACAGGTTTGGGGAGTATTGGGACTGAACGAGCCACTTTGGTCGTAGCCAGCGTTTGTGTACGAACTACAGTCACTTGCACGAGGACCTCAACTGATCATCCTCAATCCGCCCGCCCCCTCCCACTTCTTTCGATGATAATTGATTGCGTAGGTTTGGAAGTGGTTTACATAGGTTCTCCTATGCTTGATTGCATTTTTAGCGGATGGATTACTCTGACGGCTGATCAAGCCGACCAGGTCCTTCAACATCTTGGTGATACATATTTATCCACCTACACCTATTCTCAAAATGCCAGTGTGCGCAAGTTATCTCTTCAAGTTGTTCAAACCACTCTATCCCATTGGAAGCGCGCAGCCGAAGGAATCCAGGAAGACGTTGAGTTAACAGCTCACCAATTGGTGGAATACATGACCTCGCAAATGCTTCAAGGAACATTAAGATCTTGGGAGGTGCAGTGCGAATTAAGTCGTCTACTTGATGCCTGCACGAGATCGAATCTTCCTCAGACGAGCTGGGCGCCTTTGGTAATTGATGAAGGTCAAGATGTAGTCTCGTCTCGGCCGGCTGACCTGATGCTCTGGTTTTTGGAAGATCAAGACTACCGCGTACGATACCGAGCTGCGCTTTATGTGTCTCGATCGTTTGAGCTGAGGGATTCAGAAAATTTCCATCCGGTGGAATATTGGCGACAAGTGGTTGAGCATCTCGATCTAGCGGCCGTTCAACTAGAGATTTCGTTGACTGCGACGTTATGCATGATCAACATTTTCGTAGTCAGTGAAGAAATCCGACCCCGAGTCTACCACAAACTGTTAAGCCTGCTGTCGGACCCGCCAGCTCTTCCTGACGAAGTTCTTCATTACAAGTTGGGGCATGGGCTTCTGCGCCGTGCTTCCGGTCAATTGGGGTTTACATCGACAATGGACCTATATCTGTTCTACGCTGCCCATATTGCTCGAGTGAATCTAGAGCAAGAGGAGTCACCGCCAATTTGTAGTCACTTATGTGTTGGCCATCGCCTGAAACGCCACCAGAGGGACGAGCTGTTCTATGGTCATTTTTTGGCAGTTGGCCCATATCTATACATTGCCGATCAGAAGTCCTTCAAGAAGTGTGCCGAGTGTGCTACTTTGAAAGAAGACGATGCCCTCCGCTTATGCTGCTCTGCTATAGCCGCTGAACTAGTTGCTCGCGCTTGTACACAAATGGCTTCATCAGATTGTGCACTTACCGGGATCAATGATTTGATTGAACCAATGCTCAAGACCATGGCTAAAAATTTAAAGCTAGAGCGTGGAATAATGGAATTGGAAAGTGACCGAGTGGTTATTCATTTAATGCGTCTGGTGCATGTTACGCCTGAAGGCCTAGATGCTATTTCGAAGATCGTGATTCGAGATTCCACGCAACGCAACGTATTTGGAGTTCTTACCTCCAGCTTGCGGAAACATTCACCTTGTGAACCTGCCTTACCATTTTACCCAATCTTGCGCATCGCACAAGGTATCAAGTGGATCGGGGACGGTCACTCACTTTTCACTGAACCTGCCTTCGTATACAACGTCCTTTGCCAGACCTTTGCTTCATTGACCAGCTGCTATTTTACCAACGACCGCCTCAGAGTTCTGTATTCCCTGAGCATTTTCATCTCTCTTTCTCACCATACAATCTCTTGTTCCCTCCCCATTCTTAGCCTGATCATCCAAGCTCTATCTCCGCTTATATCTCATGACGACATTTTCCAGCCCGTTAGTAAATTCATTCAATGGACGATTATGAAGGCTTTGCAGCCCTCTAACACCGAATTAAAAGGCCATGCCTCCATGGCCCAGCTTATCATCTCTGTCGCCGATTCAATGAAACGGGTGGCCAATTCGACCTTATCAGACCCACCAGACATCATTTGCGCCACGGAGTTCAACTCGTGGTTATTAGAGCACGTCGCAAAGACCAGCCAATCAGGCCCATTGGAATACCAAACGCTTTGTCATAGCCTGTTATTTAATTGGCCAGAAAGTCACAAAATAGAAATCGAGGACGGCGCAATGAGATCGGTGCTTGGCAGCTCTACTGGCCCAACATTCAAAATGATCCATCACCTCCACAGCCAAAACTTTCCAGGAACTGCGGCCGAAACCGGAAATATTCTTTATCGCTTACTCGCATCCGCTCAAAACTTGAAGACCGAAATCAAAGTTGAAGATTGTCAAGCCTACTTGAAGTTGTTGTATCAAAATTCGGGTGTCTTATCATCACCTCGCCTTGGAGAATCAACACTTGCAGAACCAAACGCTGGTTTCGAGGAACGGTCGTTGGACTCCGAAGACGAAATCATCTCCCGGATATATGCTATCATGGTGTCATATCTTCAGACATACAATTTTCCGCTTTTATGGTCTCTGACGGATTTCTTACAAAGAACATCCAGTTTTGCAAGTCTGCCGACGCTCACGAAGAGTGGTTTCTCATTAGCACCTCTCTTGATTGAAAAATTCAGGCTTAGTTGTCACAAGTCTGAATCACTGGAATATTCCGTGAAACGAGTCTTTAAGTCTAGAAGTCCTCCAGATTTTCCTTCATTGGAAAGATTGGCTTACTCATCGTGTCACTGGACTCGCGGCTTTCTACATCTTCTTGTCGCTTCCCGGGCTCGAGCGCGACAGTTTTACGTGCAACTAATCCCCTTGTTAGAAAGCAATGACGAGCTTGCAGCTAAATTCCTCCCTCAAGTATTACATTCTTGTCTACTTGAAGAAATTGGCTCTACTGAAGCCAATCTGAGAACTAAGGTGTCAAAGCATATCCGCACCATACTTACTTCACATTCGACCCACCAAGATGTTGGCATTCGTGTTCTAGAATTGGTAACTCATCTAAGATCCCACCCAAGGCCCGGCAAGGATCCCCTCGGAAATAATAAATGGCTAGACGTTCCATGGCTCCAGTTGGCAAAGCAAGCAACTAAATGGCGGATGGCAGCCTCTGCTTTCTTGTTTGTTGAGATTGCGCGCGAAGAAGGTCTAGCAATTGACGTTACAAAGCCGCTTGATGGCGATCTCCAGTCTTTGCTTGAGCGCCTTTACAGCATTTCACCCGAGCCAGATGCATTTTACAGTCTAATACCCTCAAATCCAACGAAATTTTTGCTCCAGCGCTACCAGCATGAGAATCAGTGGGAATCTGCTTTCGGATTTCATGGCGCCTTAGTCGAAGACCTTAGCATCAAATCCCGAGCATTTCGTGAAGAAATACCATCACTTGCCGGCTACCTTTCAGGAAATGGCTTGAACCGACTAGCACACATGGTTCTCCAAACGCATAATCTCGGCCAAGATCTAAGTCGAACCTACACCAGCGAGGCCGAAAAACTATCTACGCTACCTCTTGAGTTGGCATGGCGTGCCTCTGTTTGGGATTTGCCTGCGGGCAATCAGGTGAATGTTGATTCATCGACTAGGATTTATAGCAGCTTGAAATCCTGCTACAGAGACCGAGAGAACAGTGCCCAAATTGACATCACAAGCAGTTGTCTCTTAGGCCAATTCAAGGAGCTTATCAACAGCACTAGTGCTCGCGTCCAGCCTAGTTCCAAAGATGTAGGATCAGCTCTGGCATTGAGCAATGTGTTAGACTGGCTGAAGAATCCTCGGAAAGATGATTTTGAGTCCCTTGTTTCTCTACCTTCCAGTTTCTCGTGAGTGCTTTCATCTGCACACCCAAGACATGTGCATTCTTTTGAACAGTCGAGATGTTTTATTTTTTTTTTCTGCGCAGGTATGATGTGCTCGAACGAATATCTGCCGTTCGAAGGAGCCTGTTACAAGTAGTAACCGAACAAAAGCAAGGAGAAGCTGTCCAAGATAAAATAAAACGTACGGCTGCTCGAGAAGCAGAATTGAAATTGCGCATCAAGACTAGTCAGGCGGCACGTCAGTCCGGCAATGTCCAAGCTGCAGTCAACATCATCATCCCATTTTCCAACTTGACCGATGAAGAAATGGGAGGCACAATTTTACACGCGAAGGAGGAATTTGCTCAAGTGTTATGGGCCAAAGGTGAAAAGGCCCTGGCGCTTAACATAATGAAAGAAGTTCAAGCTCTGCAAAAAAATCTTCCAGAATCGGCTGTGCAACTTTGCCAGATAGTGAGTTTCATCCGTCAGAAGCCCTGGTACTTGTGACATCGCTTACCTGTTCATCTATTGTACATTTGTGATACAGGGAGAATGGATTTCACTTGCCCGGCTGAATTCCCCCATGGAGATCGTCGATCAATATTTTGAAAAGGCCATCAAAAGTCTCGATAGCATGAAACATCCCGAAGCCTTGGGAGAAATCTCATACAGCTACGCCAAATTCGCAGATCAGCAATATCATAAAATGGAAGATTCCGAAGAGATGAAAAAATTGAGGAAATCTACGAAAAGGCTGCAAGCAGAGATCAAGGGGGCTTCAAAGCTTGCTAAAGTCGATGGAGGTGCTAAAAGATTGGTGGCACTGAAGGAAAGACTCTTTGAAGAAGATAATAATAGACTCGAATCTCTTTCCAAACTCCAAACTCGTTATTTATCTTCATCGCTCACTATGTATCTGTCTTCTCTCTCACACTATGATAAGGCAGATGAGGTCATTTTCCGCTTCGTTTCGCTCTGGTTGGAACACCACTACGATGATGCATTGACTAAAGGCATTTCTGCCCATCTCAACTCGGTTCCAACGCATAAATTTATACCAGTGGCCAATCAGTTGTCGGCACGACTTAGTAAGGAATCGAGTTCGGAATTCCAAAAAGCCCTGGGTGATTTGATCGTCCAACTCTGCCAAGATCATCCTTTCCATGTTCTCTTCCAGATTCTATTACTTCAGCGTGGAATAGAGTCTAGTTGCCTCGATAGCCTGAATAGCTCTAGATCTCGCCGGACCTCGAATGTAACTGCCTCCAATACTCTATCCCCTAGTGATCGTTCTCGTGCGGAGGCAGCCAATGATGTGCTGAGTAAAATAGTTCAAACCGGACCCAGGAAGAAGGTTATCAAAGAGCTTCTAATGGTTCACAAGGCCTATAAAGAATGGGCATTACATCCCTTGACCATTGGCAACAAGGGGCCTAAGTCAGGTAGCCGTGCACAAATACCTGCACATTTTTCAGTAAACAGCCTTAAAGACCTATCTATTCCAGTTTCAACCTCGCGCATATCAATCGACAAAACACGACGTTACCTTCCAGATAGCATACCTTGCATCAGCAGCTATGAGACCACCTTCACTGTGGCCTCGGGTAAGAGCACACCAAAGATTACGACGTGTCGAGGCTCGGATGGGATTCGTTATAAGCAACTCGTAATTCAAAACCTTGATCATTTTTTTCAATTATACTTTAGCACTCACTAAATCAACCATTTGATTGTAACATGCTTATCAGTTCAAAGGTGGCGATGACGCTCGACAAGATGCGGTCATGGAGCAGGTATTCGAATTGGTCAACAGTGTCCTGGAACGTGACCCCGAATGCCAGAAGAGAAGGTTGAATTTTAAGATTTATATGGTAATCCCGCTATCTCCTGATTCTGGCCTCATTGAGTTTGTCAAGAACACATCATCGTTACTGGAAGTCCTCAAGCCAGTACATGCTAAGTAAGCCATCACCATTTCTCCTCAGCGATATTCTTCTAGTTCAACTTGACACTGTATTTATTTGTCGTTGTGTCCTGTAGATATAACCAACCGCCGGACTGGGAATTCGAAAAATTGTGGAAGTACTTGGCCATCAAGGCAAGTGCTGAACAGAGGATAAAAAGGTATCAAGAAGCCATTACACATTGTCGACCAGCGATGAGATTTTGGTTTTGGGAAAATCAAAAATGCCCGCAGAAATGGTACGAGATGCGTCTGAATTTCACCAGATCCGCGGCGACCACTTCAATTGTAGGCCACATCTTAGGACTAGGAGATCGACATCTATCTAACATTCTAATCGATCGAGTGACTGGAGAGGTCGTCCAAATTGATCTTGGAGTAGCTTTTGATGGAGTAAGAAGTTAAAGTCGACTTTGATTGGTCAGAGTGTAATGTGACTGATGATATTCGCACTTCAACCATCAGGGGAAATTATTACCTATACCTGAACGGGTACCTTTTCGACTAACTCGAGACATGGTTGATGGATTTGGAGTGGCCCAGACCGAAGGCGTCTTTCGCCGATGTTGCGAACAAACCCTGCGTGTTTTAAGAGAAAATAAGCGGCTGATCATGACAATTTTAGACGTTCTGAAGCAAGATCCCCTCCAATCATGGTGAGCTCAGCTCTCATCTTACTCATGGTCCATTTTCTACCAACAAGATGAAGCAGGTCAACAACCAAACCTAATGAGGAAATATAACCTACCACGAATTATTAGGATCGTGTCCAAACAAGAAGAAAAGGTCAAGCAGGGAGCTAAGCAGGATTTAGAAAGCAGCGGAGAAGAAGATGAAGAGAGTTGGGATCAATCCATGAGCGATGCTCCTGAACAGGCCTCTAGGGCACTAGCTTCTGTCGACGACAAGTTATCCAGTAATCTGAGCGTAGAAACAACGGTTAATCAGCTTATCCTCGAAGCCACGTCGGTTGAAAATCTTGGGTCTATCTTTTGTGGTAAGTGGGCAAATCCAGTTTGATTGATGGAGAAATACTGGACAGCTTTAATGATTGCCCTGTTCTTTGTGGAAAATACATCTATGTAGGTTGGTCTGCTTGTAAGTTTCTGCTGCTGATCTTTTGAATTTTAATGAACCTGTTCACACTGACTCAATTTCTATTCCTACTGTTCTTGACTCCTGATAGTTTATTGAGCCTGAAAGGAAGAAGCTTATTGGCCTTCAAGTGTAGTCCATAAAACATAGAATACTATCTATTGAAAATTGTCACCATTGATTGCTGTACATCTACTCAATGATTCAATTCAGTGAATCTTCAATTTTTTACTTCTGTCCAAGATAATAGATGAAGGGGGCTCTGGGCCTTACAATTTTGCTTCTACAATTAATGTTGTGGTTTTGTGAATAATGATGATAATTCTTAGAACAACACCGGACACAGCAGCTCCAAGTCAGTGTCTAGTGAGTCTGAGGGTAACCCAGTAACGGGGTTACAACAATTAAGACACTTGTGTTAATTTACTTTTTGTAGGTTTCACAAGAGACAACCTGAAACATGAATCTACTACTCAGAAATAGATGGTGATAAATGAAAATGAAGTTGGAGTCCACACAAATCATCTCTTTTACACTTTTTCATTTTTGGAAAGATTTGACTGGGGGTTTGAACTGATTTGATTCAAGATCAGCTATAGGTTGGAAAAAGTGCGAAGTGAATTGGTGATCTGGTTCTGTTTTTTTTTGTGAGACTTGATCAAAATAACTGGCAGATGAATGAATAATAGAGTGCATTTGTGTGGTATGCTCTCCCAACTGATTATGACTGCTTAATCTTTCAAAGAAAAAATTAATCTCCACACACTAACAATGTTTGCAACAGGGATATGAGATGGGATGATGAATATTGTTATATGCAACCTAGCCCACCATCAGATTGTGGCCTTGAGATGACTTGCAAGACATCTGATCAAGTGCCCGCCCTTAACCAACCATTCTGCTTGGCTGTGAGGTTCTTCAGTACAGCAACCTGATACTGATTCTGATTTCTTCAACATGGCAAAACAGCTGCTTGAAACATAGAAGGGAAAAAATGCTTAGTAGGCTGGGAGTGGACTGCGCACAGGGGTCCGCCTCTTTCTGTTAATGTCACAGAGGATCCAGGGGCACCCAATTGATTCTCGTCGATCTGACGTTGATCAGGTCTGCTACATATGACGGCATCGATGCTCTGAGTGGTCGGTGTGACCAAGGAAAGTCTCAGAATATTATGCAGTAAGCTAATATTCAAGTCCATATTTACGTAGCTCATCTCTGCGGCTGGGAACCTGTGGCTGTGTACATAGGGAGGACTACCAATAAAAGCTGGCCAAAACAACAACACTTCATCCCCAGGGAACAACAACGAACCAACACATTTCCGACTGCCTCACTTTCCCAGTCACTTACAGTTCAAGCTCAGCATGTCGGTCGACTCTCCCTCAAATACCAACGACAAACCCAACGATATCGGTCCTGATGGCGAAAAGATCAAGGGTCCGCATTCCGCCCTTCTTGAGTAAAATAAAATCCACATCAAGCTAACTTATGGTTTTTTTGCATCGTCGGGTATTCAGATATGACATATTACGAGCTGCTAGGCGTCAGAGGTGATGCGACCGACATCGATCTCAAGGTCTCTCTTCCCCCTTCCTTCCAAAGTCATCCTATCATACCCCTCCGTTAGCTCTCGATGGTAATCCGCTAATCAGACCGAAAAAATTCTTTTTTTCTGGGGTGTGTGTGTTTGTGTTACAGAAAGCTTATCGCAAAGCTGCTATTCGATGGCACCCAGACAAGTTAGTTCCATCTCCTCCCTGGATCTCAATCTACCATCCAAGTCCGAACTCATCATCATTTCGGTTTACCTACTATAAGGAACCCTGGAGACGAGGAAGCTCAGAAGAAATTTGTCTCGATCGGGGAAGCTTATCAAATCCTTTCTGATCCTCAGTCAGTCGCCCACTCCATACTACTCTCATCATCGATCATAACTTTTGCATTTGCTGTTACCGGCCAAACTCATCCTACAACACTTACCTCATCATCATCAATAACACAGAGAAAGAGCTTTCTACAACAAGAATGGCAAGCGTGAGCATGGCCAAGCAGGTCAAATGCCGATGGAGGATCCAGGAAAACTGTTCGAGACCATGTTCGGTGGCGAAAAATTCCGGGTTCGTCGAATGCCCTGTATTCCTTACACATACGACTCCTTAATAACCACTCAATTTGAACTGAACCTCATCTGCTTAATGACGATAACATATCACACGTTAGGATTGGATTGGTGAGATATCTTTAGGTAAAGACATAGGCAAGGCTTTTGAAACCCATACCACTGAAGAAGAGCGAGAAACGATGAAGGCAGAATGGGCGGCCAAGCAACAGGCCAATGGAAATCCGCAACAAACCATCAAACATGACTTGGACTCATCGGTCGCACCTTCTAGTCCTAAGAATACTACGCCCGACCTACGACGTAGTCCATCTCTAGCCCCAGGTTCAGGCATCCAACCCAGTCCAGCCAACGCCACCACTTCTACCACCCTTGCTTCCTCCTCTAGTCAACCCACTGGATCTACCGCCCCTCCAACATCGACTACGACCCCAGCTGCAAAGCCATCACTCAAGCAAACTCCTGAACAACGCGCTGAAGCTGAGAAATATGAGAAGCAGCGAAAGGAAGATACGATTAATCGAGTGAATGATCTGACTAAGAAGTTATTGGAAAGAATTCGACCGCTAGTCGAAGCTGCTAAACCTGGGGAACCAGGAGACCCAGAGACCGAGAGATTTACCAATGGGATCAAAATGGAAGCTGAGGATTTGAAATTGGAAAGCTTTGGAGTCGAATTACTGAGATTGATCGGTACGGTCTACTATACCAAAGGTGAGCTGATATGTATCAGCCATAAATGATTAACCAATCGGGATTTCGATTGTCTGATTATAACATCTGCTCCTCTGTTTTGATTTCTGATGGTTCCAGCTTCGACATACATTAAACTTCATCGATCTAAGTCTCCGTTTGCGAACTTCCTTGGGCTCCCTGGATTTTATGAGAACACCAAACAAAAGGGAAAGATGATCAAGGAGGCATGGGGGATGTTGAGCTCAACGTTAGATGTGCAAACTGCGATGATGGACCTGGAAAAGAGGCAAGAAAAGGGTGAACTACCTGAGGAAGAAATGGAGAAACTGAATAAGGACCTGGTTGGAAAGGTTTGCTAGATTTTTTTTTTTTTTGCTAGGCTAGTTTGTTGATCACTAATTAGTAATTGATGACTTTCTATCCTCAGCTCTTGTTAATTTCTTGGAAAGGAACACGCTTCGAGTCGGGTGCGATTCTCCGTCAAGTTGCTGACAATGTCTTATCCAAGGTACCCATTCAAACTTTTGGATGACTGATATGAGCTCCGTTTGTTTTTTGGATTGACTGATGAGTTTGGTTGCTGCTGGGACTTAGGACTCTCCGAATGTTACGGATGAAACGATCATGAATCGGGCGAAGGCTTTAGTGCTGATCGGAGCGATCTTCAAAGCAGTCCAGCCAGATGAAACAGACCATGAAGAACGTCGGGAACTTGAACGGTCAGTGCTGAGTTTGATTGATTGTCTGATGATGAGTGAGGTTGATTATTCATCCATTAATCTTGCTGGATGTGTGGTGGTTCTGCAGATTGGTCGCCGAGGCAGCTGCCAAGAAGAAGGATAAGAAGGCTAAGAAGTGAACAGCCGGTGATGCTGTTAAAAGAAAGCCCAAAGGAATGGAGGGCGCAGGCCACCATTGAGCATTCTGTATTTTTCTTTCTGAAATATCTAGGATCGTTGTTTGTTTTGTTTTTTGTTTTTTTGTTTGTTTTTTTGTCTTTCTGGTTTTTGTTTTGCATCTCTGCTTCTGCTTTGTCTTCCCACCATCGGATTACACATCCCCCCATAATAATCTCATGAGCAGCCGTAGTACTGCAATCTCCACTTGATCTTGAGCTCATGAGCAAAGCGCGTCTTGCCATGAAGTGAGGACGGAAGAAGCATCCATCCATCCTGATGTTCACCACCCTCAGAGCCACCCCCAGTACTCCGGCCAGCCTCACCCGCTCGATCTGGCTCGGCTCCCACTCGGATACGATCTATGGCCCAGCCACCCCAGTCGGACTCAAGGCCGCACTGGCCATCATCCGCATCGACGGCCCCCAGGCCATCCAGCTCTGCCGCTCCATCACCAGGCCGCTCAATCCAAGCATCCCTCACTCCCATCTCCCCCCTCCTGCTCCTCGCAAGGCCACCCTCAGGAAGCTCGTCTGTCCGATCACCCAGAAGGTCATCGACCCAGAGGCACTCCTCCTCCGATTCGACCATCCCAAACACGCCGCATCCACCATCGAGTTCCATCTACACGGCTCGCCGGCCGTCTCCAAGTCCCTCCTCAGCACCCTCTCCCAGCTAGACTATCTCAGACTCGCCCAGCCTGGCGAATTCACTCGCAGGAGGTTCGATCGAGCTCATGGATCAATGGATATCAACAAAGTCTTGGGCCTCAAGCACTTGATCGAAGCAGAAACTGAAGAACAAAGGAGATGGGCTGTCTCCGAATTCGATGTCAGTTCCTCAGCCATTCGATTCTCTCTCTGTCTCTTGATCCTAACCTTGTGTGCTCATTCTTGAGAATCTGTTTCTTTTCTCTTTCGCATCCAGTCCAAATTTGATCATACATACCAACAGATGCGAAAGAAATTGAAACAATCCATGGCACTTTGTGAAGCGATCATCGATTTCAGCGAAGATGGATCCATGGATGATCGGGAAATTTGGAACCAAGGTAGAGAGATCCTCGATTCCAGCATATGTAGCATCGGCAGAACAGTTTAGCATCGATCTATATCCTCATGAACTTGCTTTTCTTTCTCTCTTTCCGATACATAGTCATCGATCATCTCCTCGATCTCCAATCGACTATCAACGCCCAACTGTCTCAATCAAAACGACGCGAGAAGATCTCCATGGGCATCAAGGTCTCTCTCTACGGCTCTCCAAACGTCGGGAAAAGTACTCTTCTTAACTACTTGGGTCTGTATCATAACGACTACCTATCTATCTAGGCTTGCTTGGTGCTCTTTGCTTACTATTCTGATCAGTCAATCGAGAGGCTGCCATCGTATCCCCCTATCCCGGTACCACTCGCGACATAATCGAACTGTCTATCGATTACCGTAAGTTTATCTTTCAAAATGTATTTGATGAATATGATAATTCGCTGACAACAAGGGAAAAAAAAAAATCATCATTGGTATAATTTTCCCAGATGGGTTCCCCATCATTCTATCAGATACCGCTGGACTCCGCTCGAGTACTGATCCAGTCGAAGAAATCGGAATTAATCGAGCCAAGGAAAAGTTGAGCTTGACAAGATGGCTATTGATTCGACTTTGCCCTGTTCTTTGACAGTCCACAGGAATTGAAGAAAATGTTCTTCCTGTGCAAATTTGTCTGATCAGTATCGGAAAGGCGGACGTTCGATTATTATTGGTCTCCGCAGTTGATATGGATTCATTTGATAGTCAAGATTCAATCCTGAAGCAAGAAGTCCAAGATAACCGACCGACGATGATCTTAGTCACTAAGACTGACCTACTTATAGATTCGCCTGAACAAATCGAGGGAATAGTCAAGAAACTCGATCATCACTTTCCTGGTGTGCCGGTTCATCCCATCAGTGTTTTCGATCAAATCGATCAGCATGGAATGTCCCAGTTCATCAAATCATTTGAGAATCATTTGAGATCCTCGTAAGTCCTAGCTGACTGACCAAGTTGTCAGTTTGATGTGACTTGAATACAAACCTGAGCTTCCGTGCTTTTTTTTCATTGTCGACTATTCAGCTATGGATCAGAGGCATCGGAAAACCAAAACTCGTTCTATTTAACAAATTATCAAAAGATCCAACTGGAGAAGATTTTGAGCCACATAGAAGGGTTTATTAGTCGATTGAGGTCTCATCTCTCTGGTCGCGAGGATGACAATCAGCAGCTTGAAGACCTTGATCTGGTGATTCTGATCGAAGAATTACGACTGGTTTCTGGCCTGTTAGCCAAACTATCCTTCACTAATCTTCCGCCCTCTCAACTCGATCATCATCACCCTGCGCACGAAATTTCGACAGACGAAATACTGGGTGAAATGTGCGTATAGTGCCCTCCCTAACACCTTGTGACTTGCTGCCCACAACGTGAGTCCTGTGCTCTTCCACTACTGACAACACCCATTTTGTACTTTTTTTTTGCCCTGCTCGATGCAGTTTTCAAAGCTTTTGCATTGGAAAGTGAATAAATACTTGTCACAATGTTTTTGTTCCTCACATTCAACTGTGTGCATGTTTAGCAATCTGCAGGTTAAGGATCAGGTACATACCGTGGGCCCTGAAGAAGTGTGTTTCATTTGCGCTATGCACGTATATACAGCCCTGGCTGCTGTGATTCAAGAACTGTCCAGATGATCATGGAAGTGTACATATTCCTTATCCGTCTTTCCAAGGGAAGATCATGATCGCACCTTCTTGGGGAAGCCCTTAAAGCTCCTGAGGTTGAAAGTGTTACATATATGTCCCTCCAACACATACCTTCTTGTCACGGGCAGATACTTAGGGACAACTTATGTAGCCTGTTCTGGGTCAAACTGAACTTGTTACATCCACCAGCCGTGTGGGCTCCCAGTCGTTCCAACCCCACTGTCCACTGGCACAAACGTGCGTCGACGTATTTATGATCAGTGTCTGAGCAGGAGTATAGGATAATGAAACATCACCCGAGGAATGGAAAGTCGGGAATGGTATACCGCCCAGAAAGGCCCAAAGAATGTACTATTTGTAGTAGACTCTCTTCATTAACATGGTCAAACTTGCCGTACCTCAAACCCTCATCACCAGACCCCGTTTTACTATCGGGCAGCACTAGCCTACACGCCTCCTGCCGAGTCGAGCTCCCTCGGCCGATCACAATCCAATTTTACGCAGATTTAAAAATGCAAGGTCGCCTTTTTCTCTTATTCCTACCTCTCGCGCACAATCTCGCAGGAGTAACATGCTACCGAAGTAATCTTGTCCGACGTGCCTTCAAGTCACATGTGATAGATCTGGATGATAGCTGGGCCAGTGATGCTGGCTTGACCTCACAGGGAGACTCCAACTTCATCGACCTTTCTAATCATCTCGAGGTGAGAGCTTCACGAAAGGATCTCTGGCGTATTAGCCGCTCCGAGAAACTACAGCTAATGAGCCCACATCATATGGGAATTTTCACCAGACAGGTTCGATGGGGCATAGTCGTGACAACACGCCCCAGCTGCTCGAGTTGTTTCCGCTCACGCCACATGGAGAAACAACGGCAGAAAAGCCAGCTACCGCCAGCGAAGATGAGGAGACTCGTCCTGAAAAGCGGTTAAGACGGATGAAGAGCCACCAGTACTGGTATTCAGAGGCCGAAAATTATTTCCATGACACTAGACAGCAACACTCAGCACCTTCCTCAAGCACCGTCCCGCCAAGGTCAACGCCCGGGGTCCAAATTCACGACTCATCAGCTCCGACCAATGAGCCTGAGCCTGAGGAGCTTCGGCCAGAAATTCAGCAACAATCGACAACACCAAGCGCCGTCCCACCAATGTTGACGCCAACAAGAGTCCAGATTCACGAGTCAGTTCTGGCTGCTCATCAACACCAGAATCCATGGGCTGGTCACCAGAGCACGTTGCCCGCACCGCTCGGTCTAAATTGGATCCCGACCACTCATGCAAAGCTCGCCAAAGCCCTTCAAATTGCTCCGTACCATAAGTCTACCAAGAAGCCAGCAGCCAAGGGTTTTACTCATTCAGAGTCTTCTCCAATGCGCCCGTTTCAGGCGGCTGAAATGGTTCAAGCCGAAACTCCCCAGGTACCCTTAGGATCTCCTCACTTGCCCACAAACGAGTATATCAAACGATACTACTCATGTCAAATCCTGGATTGGAATCCACCTGAAATCATCGACCAAAAGGCTGCTCTTGGGGCACATGTGATGGCGATAGAGCTCCAGAACTTAGTCGAAGGAGAAGAAGGTGTATACTTAAACAAACTTCAGGTTTCACATAAGATTTATAATCCATTCGTATACAAGTTACTGACGAAAGACCTCAATACGAATCATTGGGCGAGGGTACGTCAGGCCTGGGGCAGCTTTTGGGACTCAAGATTCAAGCAGAAGACACCTCACAATATTTTACGAAAGTTTATTTGGGTGACTGACTTGATTACAGAGTCAACAATACCCGAATTGTTCGAGAATGAACGACTAGAATACACACAGGGTCGCGCAATTCATTATCGATACCATTTCACCAATCATGAAGCTAAGCTCATCAAACTCTTGTCAGACGGCAGGATTCCGATGAAGAAAGACAGCAACCTGCAAAGGGCCACGACGGATACTCTCAATTACAAGTTCAAGTCCACCCCCAACCTCGGCCAAAATGGAAACTCAGAAGAGCTGTTGGCTGTAGACGCAGTCGGAGACTCTATACTTGAGAGACTGAAATCACATGCACAAGTTATCAATGGAGCCATATCTGACATCACTGCGGCAGCGCCTCAATGGGATCCGATTGATTGGACCAACTCCTCATTCCGTCGCTTCATCAAAGATAATCTGATCTTCATGAAAACCAAGTCCCCACAACCCTTACCGGATTGTATCCCCAGCAACATCCAACCCCAAATCACTCAAATCGCTCGAGCTGCGAATTCAATTCAGAAGAAAGCACGAGCTTCTTTGTCGAGTTCTAATCAGTCCTTGTTTGTATTAGTAAGCAATTTTGATGGCTTCTTGAAAGCTAAGGAAGTCCAAACAATCTCTCTACCCAAAGTCATACATGATTACTTTGAGGAATCATTCCAAAGGCTCAAAACCTCCAATGTGAAGGAAATCATCCCAACTTCTTAATGATTATATCCTTATAATATTGCTTTTAATTTCTAATCTGTCACACTTGTTCATTTGCAACCTAATCAGAGATTTGATGAGAATCCATGTTGAAATTCTTTGGTTTCCTTGTTCTTGGTTTCCCTCTAATAAGACAAATGGCTTGAACAAGATCAATTTACAATGAGAAACCACTTGAATTTTTCTAAACACAAGTAAACAGTAGTTCTGCATTCAAAAAAAAATGACTGCTGAGAGTTGAGAAACAAAAGAAGCTTGGGGTCTTGCATTGAATACATACTTTCAATAATATATGGTCAATTGATGAACCAGATTTCTATTCAACATTGGTGTCTAATGCCCCTACTTGTAGAATATAATTGGATGACACCAATTCTTTTTTTCTAAAGATTGTCTTAGCCAACAATAAAAATAGGGATGTGTCCCCCACAAGGTGTTTCCATCTTTTGGATGATTTCCTTTTGCAATCTACAACCCTCCCAGAATTCAATTTACACCCCTTTGATCTTAATTTTTTTGTAAAAAAAAAACAAAACCATTTTAATAATGGCCCTCATGTGAGCAGCCCTGGGTCTATACTATACTTTACCATAACTGACCCTTTTCAGTCTATTAAAGTTTCCTCAAATTTCTATTTACTATACCAATACCATAACCAGTGTTGGATACCCGCCAAGATTTGGAGGAAAATTGGGCATCCACACCCAAATCCAAATCCTCTGGCGGGTATCTGCCAGCGGATAGGGGCTATCCGCAACAGATACTCTATCTATTATCCAATCTAACCCTACCTTATTACTGGAATGATTATTAAGAGGCTTAGAATTATCCCAGATTCCCTTCTTAATTAATTCCTTAAAAAGTAGTTGCTGCACAACCACCACCTCTGACTGTAGCCTTTCAGCTCAGGTGCTCTAGTCCTTCAGCACAGTGATAGTGCCTGGCTTTTATATTAATTAAGCCAGAATTTCATACACATAGCTGACACCTACCTTCTTGAATAATTGAGTTCAATATCGTAAGATTCTTTCTTGAAATGATGCCTTTCTCTGAAAAGAAATTGAATGATTTATCTGGTTGCCTCAGCTGATCATCAACATTTTGCAATTCATTGTCCTTCTCCTTTCCTGTGACTGTCTTCTATGAAATGAGGTTTGCACACTCGGGGCATTGTTTGGTTATAATCTGTAGAAAAGAGTGTATCTTTTCTCCAGGAATAAATTGCATATTGTTTGAAAAATCTCTTCTCACAAAAGTATGGTGGTTTGTAGAAATAGCATGTATAATACTTCTTGTATTTTTAATAAAATTTGGACATCCTGTTGTGGTGCAGCTGGAGCACATGAAATCAATTCTACAAAAATTATTCATGGAAATTGAATCCAGCCAATCATTTCAACCCTTGAAAGCCTTTTTGGAAAATGAGCTGATTTTATCTATCAGATCATCTCCATTTTTTGAGTTAAACCCAAGCAAGTTAAAGTTGTGGCACTAGGGGTACAAATTCCCCATCAAAAAGTGACATCTGAGTCCGTTCAAATTCCTCTCTTTGACCTCATAAGCTCAGATTTTAACAACTAGCAAGTTATGCAGATTCTTTTGGTGCATCACATGGTAGCATAGGAGATACTGGAACTAACATTACTGTATTTTGCCCTATTGTTGGAATGCAGCATTTTTGAAGATGATGACAGCTCCAATGATATGGACATTGACCTGATAACCCCAATGTGATTTCTTCTAGTATGTCTTAGGCCAGAAAAGAATAATTGTTGGCACATTGTTTGCAGAAACTGTTAGGATTGGGTCGTTGTGATGATGATTCCGGTGTCAAGGCTCTAATTTTAGAGTGGACTGATTATGACATCATTTGGATTTGAGAAGCCGTCAACAGCTTCCTGAGTCCCAACCAGGATGCAATCCCCATGCCCGGAGCCGAAGATAAGGGTGAGCCGCGGCGGAGTTGCTGCACATCTCCGGTTATGTAGGAATATTGAAACCGCAGTTGGGGTTGGAATTCTTCAGTCAAGTTCCAAGCCTCTGCTTCAAACATGTCGGAGCCTCGATGTCGGCCAATCTGAAGAGAGCTGGACCTGTGTTTATGTAGGACACATGCTCAGCTCATGCTGAGGATGATAATTTCCTGGTGCTCAAGCAAAGCAAGCCTGTCGCCACCGAAGTTGTACATTACCAATGAATTTCCTTGGGCACGTTTCAAAACTTCGGTCAGATCAAAAGTTGAGCCCGTCCTCCTTGATTCTGATCTTCTCAAACTCAAAAGTTCGATGATCTTATGTGCTCACGGAAAAGATATCTCTGCCGGTTCAAGCATGCATGATCGACAAAGACTTCTTATACCTTTGATATGCTATCTAACGATAGGTTTATTACCGTGTTGCAATAACACCGTCATTCAGGGAACTGGGTCAGGAAGCGTTGATGATCTTAATAGGGCTATGGACAATGGTCTGACTTCGAAGGCCAGTTGGAGTTCAAGCCAACCATCGAATGGATTGGAGGTGAGAGCCCAGATCAAATTATCGTTGTCTTCAAATGCATGCTAATATGGAAGGTATTGGTGCTACACCTATTTATAGGTCGAATTTCTGAGCACTTCAGCAGATCAGGAGCAGCGGAAACCCACTCTCGAGACCCTGAACTTATTTCCTCTTCTTCCAACACCTCAAACACATGTGACGAGCAAAACGTATGAGGAGAGTCCTCCTCCAAAGCGCGCAAGGCTTATGGACCCCTATGAAAACCATCCCTTGCCGCCGGAAAAGCTACGCTATCATGGTGGGTCGCAGCAAATGGCTCCTTCATCCAGCACCACTCCACAGAAATTGCGCACAACATTTCAGTTTGTCAATCCGGGTCCAATTGCCTCTCGAGTGGCAACGCGAGGAGACTTGGCCAATTCAAACACATTTCTTCCTTTGCATCCTAGTTTGCACCATCTGCTGGGCAACCCACGTCCTACCGGATTCGAGCACAGAGCCAAGGAAGCTATTTCCCCAGAGACTATGCGAGGAGACCTGGCAAATCCAAACCCATTTCTGGCCTTGCATCCTAGTTTGCACTATTTGCTGGGGAAAAACCCACGTCCTACCGGATTCGAGCACAGAGCCAAGGGAGCTATCGGACAAGATGCCGCTTCTCATCGCGAGTCCTACCCGGCGCAATCGTACTTCAAAGTGACAAACACGCGACACGCTTTTGAGGGAGTCCCAAAAACCCCGCTGGTTGCTCCCACCATCGTTCAAGTTGAAAGCCTTAACGCAATCTCATGGGAAAAGATCAGCAAGCGCTACTCTTGTCAAATTTTAGCTTGGAATCCATCTCATATTGAGGTGGCCACTGCCCTCAGTGCTCATGCGATGGTAAACGAGTTTCTAAAGAAAGTAATAGATCTTCCAATCTTTGAACAATTAAATCAAATGCACGGCTCGCACATGATTCTGATCCCGTTTCTTTACAAACTGAGGATGAAGCCACTCACGGAACATAACTGGCAACAAGTCATTGAAGTGTGGCGCAGGCTATGGCGCGTGTCAGACCTTCCTGAATTCCAGCCAATTGGATTGGCGTCTACGGCTTTATCAGCTGACCATGTCTTGAAGAAATATCTCTGGATCTCTGATTTCATATTAGAATCAACAATCCCTCAGTTGTATCAAGATTCTCAATTAAAATTTGTTACAAGTTCTGGGAAAGTTATCAGGAAACAAACAGATTTCAAGCTCAACACCCCCGTAGCCAAAGTGATCAAATACCTATCAGACGGTAGAAGTGAAAATACCTCAAGTTCCATCATTCGCAACTTGAACCCCGAAATAGAACGTATCGCCGTTGTTTTAAACAGGGAGGCTATCGTTTGGAGTTACAATGTCGAGGATGCAGAACGGATCCGAGCCCCGTGGCCAAATGGAATACAACCAGCTGCCCCATTGATAGGCACAGTGCTAAGTCGATTGAAGTCAACTGCTGAATTGATTAATAAGCCAATATCACACATCGTAGCAGGGCCGCGAAACATCGAGCCGTATGATTGGACGATCATCCAAGATTTCCTGGTAAAAGGATTACTTTACAAACATCGTCTCGAAGACAGAGAAATCGAGATCAAACTGTGCAGTCTTCCTGAGCCGCTTCAACGGCAAGTCCAACAAATCCATCACATCGCCGAGTTGGATCAAGCAAGACAGGCAAGTTCTTCAAGTCCTTTGGAGACGAGCGATGGGTTGCCACTTAAATACATGATAGTACTTTTGGACCGGGAGCTGCTCAACTCTTTTTGGGCATTCAGTCAACAGAAGCCTGCTCAATATGAAGAGACAAACTTTTTACCCCAAAAGATCCATAAATTCTTTGCTGACAGATTTTCACAACGCCTCATGACATGAGTTGACCTGGCAGGAATTATGCATTCAAGATTGTCTAACAAAAATGTTCACACTAGATTTTTGTTCGAAATTTTTGCTGACAAAGAAGTCCCAACCCTGGCTGATGTAAAGTTGAAACTTTTTTGACAATGTGTTCCAGCTGGTCAGAATGTTACACAAGTGTCTGTCTGTATTAGCTACATATAAAGAAAAAAATTACCTACATTTTTATTCTTGAGTATGTAGGATGAATGCACAACTAATGAGTAAAAAAGTTGTAAACCTTGTAATACAAATAAATTTGTCTAAAAGACGACGTTTAAGCCTGTTTGAATTACACAGGGATGAAGGTTAGGCGTACACTTCACATGGAGCATCATCCAGTTTCAACAATGGCAGGAATGGAAATCAATTTGAAGATAAGGCAGAGTTTATAGTTGTGACAATCTACATTTGAAGTTCTCCTCTACAATTACATTAACAATTCATGGTCAGTTGATGGTTCAACAAGCAGTAAAATTAACTGGGAATGCGTGTCATAGATTAGTAGCAGCGAAAACGATATGGAGATCAGTTAGCAGAAATAAGTACTATAGATTGCACTGACAGGATTGATTTGTTCAGTATCAAATGAAAGACAAGCAATTTACACCGTATTCAGGTAGTACGGTTGCCATTCCATGCCGTCGTCATATCTTTCATTTTCCTAGTCGACTGAAAATCGTGGGTAATTCGGGTTCAACTAATTCGGACTTTTTCTTTTTGATTGTTTCCATTAACTCATTAACAGCTGTTCTATCCAAATCGTCACGAGCTTTCAAGAGTCCTTCAGTGAACCCCACAACAGCTGGGCCGTATTCCTTAGCAAACGAATGCCAATCAAGGAAGAACATGGTCCGGCTGGCGCTCAATACGCCCAAGATGTGCTCCAACACTTTGAAGTAAGCCTTGAGCTCGGTGGATGACTTATAAGTCACAAAGAAGCTGTAGGATATTTTGACATCTGCACGAATTCGATCGACGGCGGCAGGAATGCGAATTTTCGAGGTTTTGCGAAGTCCGTTGAGGTAAGCAATCAAGAAACAGTCGACCATATCATCGATGAGCAGTTCAAACAGGTTAGGATTGAGATGCGCTTGGTAGTCCACGACATAATCTTTGATCGTTTCGATAATCAATATCATCGGTTCATCTGCCCCCTCCATGTACCACGAGTTTCCAAAGAGCATCTTGACGGCTGGCTTCAAGTCATTGAAAACTGCCTCAATGAGAGCCTGGACGCAATTTTTAGCCACATCTAGATACCCGTCCATAGCTGCAGAAAGATTTTCACTGATCGATTGGCGGTACTTTTCACTGACAAGCCCCTCGAGCTTATTCATTAAGCCCTCAACGAAATCAGCTGATTTGACTTGATCGTTTGCGAGACTGATCGTATATTCAACCAAACCTCCCTGTATGTCGTCAGCCTTGGAGGAGTGCTGCTTTTGAAACTCTTTCTTAACCAGTGATAGCCATTGAGCTTGAGTCGACATCATCACCTTAGCTGATTCTTCGACGACTCTTGAGAGGACCGCCCCTTGACCGCTGTCAATCGCAAAGTCGACCTGGGCGTTGACCTAATCAAAGGAATGATTCAAATCAGCAAAATTCGATTATTAAAGCATGAATTGCTGGGGAAGAAAGCCTCTAAGTACGAACCATCTGAAACATGATTCCGGACGCCTGCATAGTGTACATTTGATCAGCATCTTCTTCTGGTGGCTCGGTACGTTCGAGGAAAAGTTGAGTTTCGCTTTTCATGAGGTTTTGTGTCCATTCTTGCATCTTCTTGCTGATCAACTTCAAATATTCATCGACTAGCGACTGAATGTTGTCATCTAACAAGGGCGGGTCCGTCAACTCAGGAGGGATATCGAGTTCCTTGGTCATATTTTTCTTATATTCTTTTGTAAAGGTGGTGAGGGCGAGTAAGGCGCCGGCTTCAGCGTCTCCGGAGGAAGAGTATGTTTTCGTGAAATCATAGAGAGCTTTGTGATAGGCCTTGATGTAAGCAGGATAAATCTAATATTGGGTGAAAATTGATTGAATTGTCAGTTTGAGATTTATGAGAAGCTAACAAGATATTTAAACGCACCTTCCAATCCGCGGGAAATTTATCAACCAGCATTTCTTCTACCAAAAGCAAATCTTGATAGTACCAATCAAAGTTTTCTCCTTCGAAAAATCCAGAAGGGTTGTCTTGGTACTTGGAGAACTGCTTCTCGATCTGAGTTTTCGCACTAGTTCTGATCGCATCCATAACTTTTGCTCGATAATGCTTTATTACCCTTGCCTCCGCGCGGACTGACTGAAACCGTGCACCGATATCTTTCTACGTTGGAGCACACAACAAACCACAGCCTCTGTGTCAGCCACCGTTAGCTATTTGTTGTATTCCAAGGAGGGGCAACCAATGGACATACGTTTTGACGTTTGACCAATCGGATGGCAATCGCTCTTTCATCACGCTGGCCTTCGATTTCTGCGATTTTGGCGATTTTAATGGCTACGGTTGCATGTCCCTTGCGAACAATATCCAGCAGATTACCTGCAAGATGGAGGTAATGCGACTCAAATGCCTGGCGAGTCACAATATAAAGAAGCATGGGTACCAAATTTTGTAAGCTTGGTTGGAACCTTCCCTTGTGAAAAAACGTGTTCACCTCGATTATACCTGCAAGGCGCTCGAAGTAGCCCGCCAATGTCCGAACCGTCTCAGAATTCCCCTCTCTGTTGGCCTGAAGAACGGTTTCATTCCTGGTGAGAGTCGATCGAATTATTCAAAAAGAAGAAGAATACCATTGGTTAGCACCTATTAAATTGTCCCAATGTTAAAAAAAAGGGCTGCAAGTTCAACGCCTCTCAAGTGAGCACTTTAAATACCTAAACGTTTCCATTTCGCTGAGGGTATAATGAATGGCTATTAAGTTTGGTGCGTCGCCTAAGGGAGAGGCGCGGTCTTTAGCCAGAAGCTTTTCTATTCTATCGATCTTGTAATCCATGTCTCTTAGTTGTTCAACCATCTTTGCCGTGGCAACAAAATTTCGATGAATCTTTGAGACCGACGCGATCTCTGTCAAGTTCCACAGTCAGCAGGTGTGCAAATTCTCGACTACATAGAAAGAGTATGCTGCAAATGAAACTCAACTTCCGAAACCATCAACACGCACTCTGGGATCTTCGCATGCTTTTTCGACGGCGATCATCTCCTCTTTGATGGCTTCGATCTGATTTTTGGACTCTCTCAGTTTTGACATCGCTTCCCTGGTAGCATCGAGTTGCTCCTTCGCGCCTTGTTTGAGTTTGGCATCAATACCAGCCTGTTCACGCTGGAGACGCTTGCGGATTTGTGCCAATTTGACGAGGTCATCTGGAGATTTAAATAGCTGAAACCAGAACATGAACATCTCAATGATCTCGACATCCTCAAGCGTCCGAATTCAGTCAGTGCTACTTACCTCTGCAACCGCTCGAGCAGCGGTGATGTCCTTGTCCATTTCTGTGTGTGTTGACCACGACCATGGACTGTTTTCAGTCAGGAGTTTCAACGGAAGGGTGAGAAAGACGGCAGCGCATTGACCCAGCCATCATGTGGCGGGGTACCACAGAAGCGCGTGACAGTCTCGGGCACATGTGACAGGCAACTCAGCATTTCAATCTGACTTGTCTTGGTATTTATGCAGTTCTGGCGTGAATTTTGGAACCCATGATACTATGAGAGAAATGCAAGCATTTTTCCTCAACCAAAAATTCAGTTCTCTTGAATTATTTTTCATATAATCGATCTTAATCAAATCAGAGGTACCCATTTCACTGAATATCACCAATTTTGTAGATTCCTTTCAGTGGGAAAGATGATTGAGATACATGAGTTTTAAGTGAATGTCAGATTTTGGATAAAGGTTCAGTCCAATATTCTGGGAAGTATAAAATGTTAGTATACTCAAGGGAATTATCAACAATTTGTGCACTAAAAGAGAACCATTTTGGAATGTTGCCAACTGAAAATGGAAGAGGAATATTATGATGAAGAAAAACATGAGATATGCAGTGGGGAGTGGATATAAATTGCATGATTTACAATTGGAAAGGTGAAATCAATGTATGAGAGATTTATCAAAATATGCAAATGGTAACTTTTATTCTCAAGTTTTTCAGTGAGCTCATATTGGGGAAAGAAGGTTAATCTATTACATGGGTTTAATCAATTTTCTGATGAGTTGGACCGTGCTTCAAAGTCCTTGCAATAGCAGAGGTATACAAGATTTATTGATCTCAATGAGAACTTTTTTTCAAATCTGTTTCATTTCTTTCTAGCTTTTTCAAATTTGACTCATTCTGGAAACACCCGGATCCAAATAATAGTGGAGTGTTTGGCTAACTTGTACCAAGTCCCGCGCTTCTGCGGGCCTGGTGAGGACCCCGGAAACCCCCTATAAATGTGGGTGACGTAAATGTATGAATTTTTTTGGAAATAACCAAAATGTTACTCACAAAATCTGTATGAATGACCTTTTTTGGTAGTAAGCATACTCACCTCAGATGTATGAAATTTTTTTTGGGGGAGGAGGGGTGGTAACAAAAAATGTATGAAAGTCCTGGGTGTGCACAAGTGGTAATTTTTTGCACACCCCCCCCCCCCCCTCGGCAGCATGACTTGGCCTGAATTTTTGCCTCTCCCCCTCCCCCAGCCTCCCCCCTCACCAATAAAACTTCTAGTTTTATGTACTCATCTCACCTACAACAATTCAATACTTTTTTTGTTGTTTTTCTTTGTGTTGGCGTGTGCACCAACACAGATCGGCGCCCCTATAGTTAGCGAGAAAGGCTTGCTGCAAAAATGGGCTTTGAGCCTCTCAGGTGAGAAAAAAAATGGTAGGCACAAAGAATGTATGAAAATATTGGAAATCCCCTGAGCATACGCACAAAACGTGTATGAATGGGTTCCAAAAATGTATGAAATTTCACAAAATATTGGATTTTTCGTCACCCACATTTGTAGGGGGTTTCCGGGGTCCTGCCTGGTGACCTGGGCTGGCTGGCGCCACTCGCGAAGCGAGCCTCCGAAGGAGGGACTTGTGACAAATACGCACAAGCTTGCGTGTTGCTATCGACATGTTTTGGTGTAGCGATTTTTAGATCAGCCACCATGCATGTAGTTTTGGTTTTTTGGAAGGCAAAGTCAACATGGTTAAAGGTGACCATGTTGCCGATCTCTCATCAAATTTTCAGGGACTTGTCCTGAAATCTGGATGAGTAAGATTTTTTTGAAAAATATGAAAAATTGAAATAAATCAGAATTAAAGTTGAGCTCCGAGCCTTGAGAAGCTATTACATAAGCAAAAAACACAAATTTGAGCGGATGCTTGGACATTTACAAAGTTTCCCTAGAATGTAGTTGTACATGTTTCTGGGTAATTTCTTGATGAAAATTTACTTTGGCATGTGGGATACATTGTGCCAGATTTTTCCTCTATGAAAGTTAAGAAAGCGATTTATTAGAATTTTCCGCACAAAAACCACTCAAAACTGGAAAGCAACACGCGGGCGTGTTCGTTTTTGGCACAAGCCTCTCCCGCACTTCGTGCGTTTGACGGAGAGGCTGGGCAAGCTAGAGTGTTTGGGTCACTTCAGAATTTTGCATAGCTCATCAGGTGGTCACAGAAAAGTTTTAGTGAATTAGGGGAACAGACCTCATCTATCAGTAATGGTAAAAGATACAATTATTTATGTTTTCAAGTCAGGAAAGCCAACAATTCTTTAAAGAGTTTTGTGGTCTCAAAATTGAGTCAAACAGTCTCTATTTTTTTTTCAAGTGCTCTAAGTAAATCTGCACACATACATAGCTTTCTTGACCAAAAAGAACACCCAAAAGTGACCCATTACCAAAATTAAATTGCAGAATCAGTTTTTTGTTCAATAGTTTTCATTGACTATTTGGGGCTGATCTGATTGGCGGTATTTTTTGAACTGGTTGGCAAAGAATTGGCTGATTTTACTTGGTAGGAAAGGTGCCTCAACTTGTTCTCGAATCCGAAAAGCTCCTGGGTTTCTCAAAACGTACTGATCAAACTTTTTCAGGAAGTTGATGGCCGGCAAAGCATTACTTGCAGGATGGTTACTTTGAATTAACATCAAATTTTCATCAAATCCCCTTTTGCAAAGAATCTCATCAATCCTTTTTTGAAATGGATGAGATATAATATTCCCAAACCACTGTGGATCGTAAGGTTTCCTGCGAAGGTAAACATCTCTAAAATATTCAAGGAAAAACTGTTGGTACTGAGGATCCATTCCCTTAGCCTTGTCCAGAGTTGTCGAAATGGCTGAAGTAATCAACCGAGCTGTTGATTCTAATCTTTCTAGCACTAAATTGTTTAGAGAACCTTCCAAGTTCTTCTCTGTGTTGGAGCATGCTTGTTGTAGAAAAATACTCAAGGTCTTCAACGAGTCATTTTCGGAGCGATTGAAGCGCCAGTCGCCTCTACTCCCCGATAGAATCCTCACGACTTCAGCTTCAGCAGTGGAAATACCAGAATTTAGGAGTTCTTTTCCGGACGTCGCAATTGTTACTTTGGAATTTTCAAACAGCTGGGGTATAGTCGACTCCAGGATGAGATCGGAGATCCAAAGAAATTTCCACAACACTTGATCCGCAGATAACGCAGAATTTCTTGGTATTTTTTCTGAAAAGTACCACATCGAACGCCATACCCTGAGTATGGTTGGCCATTGATGTGTCTCGAGGGGCTTGATCATCAACTTGTAAATGAACGGAATGAAGATCATGTGTGAGTTTTGCATGCGTCCAAGATGAGTATACGTCGTCCCTGCTGGGATCTTATCCTGGAATTCGGTGACCATGGCATATGCACCCAGAGCAGCTTCTTCATTCACTTCACTCAAGTTCCAGTCAAGTGTTTGACAAGAGTAGTACTTCCGGACCAACGCGATCTCGGGAAGGTCGGACCATGGAGGTCTATTTGAGGTTACGACGGGAATTATACGAGGATGGTAATTCAAAATCTCCTTTCCATGACTGCCAGTTGATGATTCGCTTTTCTCTTTTTCAAAAGGCTGTACAGCATGTGAATCGAACCGAGATAATAGGTCCAGTGTGGCTTTATTGCCTGGATGACCAAGCTGATCTGAATGTTCTAATCCTTCCAGGTTTGAATGCTCTCTGTGAGATGGATTTGGATTATGAAGAAGCGATGCAGAAGTATCTTGATTGGCCATCCTCACTCGCCGCGGGTTCTGTCGATGATAAAACCGGGTTTTTTAAGAATGAACTCATCGGCCTTCGGTGGAATTGATTGAGAAAAGACTGACAACAAATACTCCTGGATGCCCCCCTGAATCCTGCCACTCGGGATCCCTCGTAGGCCAAGGATCAAGATACTTGGTGTCTAATGAACTGATGCGCTTTGGCAGGTTTTCTTCCTCATCCGCATGGTTTGGAACCCGTTTTCGGGTGCCTTTCATTCCCTCGGGATGGAGAGGAAATAGATCCAGGAGCTGGTAACTGACTTGCCTTTCACTGCTTCCTAGTATGGCTCCAATATTGGAATCAGTCTACGTAATTTTTACTTGGTGCTCGATCAGTCCAATTTTTCTTTGTCTGTTAAATTATTTTCTAGATTCCTACCTGGAACTCCTTGGATCGGCTGGAGAGGTCACTTGCTTCGGAAATCGCGCTGTCACCCGATATGCTACGGTCAAGATTTATCGTGTCTAACCGCATACCGCGTCTGATTAAAGCATTTTGATCACATGATATTGTGCGGACTTGATGGTAAACCGCAAACAGTAGAACTAACAAAAAACAACGCCAATTTTTCAGGCTGTTTCTCTTGAAGAACGGAGACTGATTTCCTGATAGAACTGTGCTAGCTGCTACTAGTGCTAGACGAAAGGATAAACGTATGATTGGCGCATAGAAAAACATGCCAAAGTAACTCAGTATAAGAATTTTGTTGATAAAGTTTCCTTTTCTCTTTCTTTTTCGGGGATCCTTCTACTGGCAATGTAAACTGTTGGAGGGCGACAGACTTTAATACTTGTTATAGACATATAAATGAATAATAGGGTAATCTTTCATGTGCAAGCAAGTCCGTCTTTCTCGAAGCCCATGAGACTTGTCTCGACTTGGCCATATGCAACTGAAGATAACTCATCTGATCCTGATACATACCTAATCAGGTCTGATCTGTTCGTGTTGTGACCCGGCGTCTGCAGGCGTCTTCTGATGGGGGAGCACTTGCCCAGTTTATATCTTATCTCTTCCGTCTCCTCCGGCTCAATTCCCGATCTTGAACGCTCCTGACTCCTGACCCTCAACGACGTATTTGGAGTAGTATGTAGAACAATTATCAATCACCCACCCTTATCTGATTTTCTTTTGAGTGCCAATGATTTTACAGTGTTATCTGAACTTGACACAGGTCTCGTCGCAGTACCATGACATGCGCCCCGGGAGGAGACTCTCTTGACAATTGAAGTTTGACTTTCTGGAATTGCTCGAGGATTGAAAGACCATTCCCGATCGGGGCAATGTTTTGCGCGGTCAGTGTCACGCGTGGAGGACTGAGGGCTTTCGTGAGCCTGTCACCTGGGCTTTCCCAGATTCCCAGAGCTTTCAACTCCCCGTGACATCTCTCCCTACATCGGACTGCTCCGAGCCTCAAGGCCTGCTCATCAGCAGCCCTTCATCACCACCGACACGAACACGAACGAAAACTATCGATTTATCTCATCCCCCAGGAATCGAGAAACGAGGAATCAGATAGTATAACGAGAAGAAAGGAATACGAGCAAAGAACCCGCGAAGAAAACTCAAACACGTTTTCATAGGACTCCCTGTGGAAGCCGAAGAGATGGCTCAAGAAGATTCCGGAACGGTGCGTTATCATACTTCCTTACCCTCACCCCCATCCACCAGGTTCGCGTGTGGATTTCTTTTCACAAACCCAGGAAAAATTTATTCACAGCGCTCGAGCTCTGATTCTGCATGATTTTTGATCTGATTAGCAAGAGCAACAGGTCGAAGATGAGGAAGAGGATTCACTCGGCCTAGGTCCAACACCCATCAGCGCACTCTCAGAACATGGTATTAGCGCATCGGATATCAAGAAACTTACCGAAGCTGGTAACGATACCATCGAAGCCATTGCATACCAGCCCCGCAAGGCTCTATTAGCCATCAAAGGGATTTCAGAAGCCAAAGCAGATAAACTATTATCAATCTGTCATCAACTCGTCCCTCTAGGCTTTACAACGGCAGCCGAAATCCATAATCGTAGATCGGTGATGATCCATATCACAACGGGCTCCAAAAACTTGGATACTATGCTCGGTGGCGGAATCGATACTCAATCGATCACCGAATTCTACGGCGAATTCCGTACGGGTAAAAGTCAACTCTGCCATCATCTTGCCGTCAGTTGTCAATTACCTGCAAATATGGGTGGAGGTGAAGGAAAATGTATGTTTATTGATACTGAGGGCACTTTTCGTCCCGAGAGAATCCTTGCAATCGCTGAACGATACGGCATGGATGGTGAAGAAGTACTCAACAATATTGCTGTCGCCAGGGCTTACAACTCAGATCATCAGTCTCAACTCTTACGCGAAGCCTCAAGGCTGATGACCCTCTCTCGGTAGGAGAAATTTTGACTCGTTGCTTCTGACTTTCACATGTATCAAAATTTGATCCAATTCGTCGTACCCCGGAAAACCAAAAAATAAAATAAAATACGTAGATTTGCCATCCTTATCGTTGACTCCGCCACAGCGCTCTACAGGACTGATTATAGTGGCAGAGGAGAACTAGCGGACCGACAAGCCCATCTAGCGAAGTTCCTGCGGGGTTGTCTTGGCTTGGCGGAACAGTTTGGGATAGCAGTCGTCGTCACAAATCAAGTCATGTCCAGTCCCGATTCAGGACCTGGTGGTGGGGGTCTGGGCAAAGCTCCTATCGGTGGCAATATTATGGCGCATAGCTCTACAACTCGGTAATTCTCATTCTCATTTTCTAGCATGATCACATTTCGATCGCATATTACTTCACAATTTCACTAACATTCACAATCTCCACTTCACACCGTTATTCTTGTTCCATGTCATCTTGACAGTCTACAATTTCGAAAAGGCAGGGAAACTACGAGAATAGTTAAATTAATCGACTCGCCTTGCTTACCTGAGGGGGAAACAAAGATGGCGATCTATCAAAATGGAATCGGAGACCCAGAAGAAGAATAAACTGATCAAACCAAGACAACCTTCTATTCGTCCTTCGGAAACTTCCTTCGCATCTTCTCTCTGTTTTCTTTTTCTCTGTTCAATGGTTGATGTGTTCATTTATTATTACATTCAATCATGAATGTTTGTACCTTTAGCTCCATGTGGTTTCATCTCACCAAGAGGACGAGACATATTTTTAAATAGTCGTTAAGTTATAAATTGACTTTAGTGAGTGATACAGCTCAAAGAGATGGGAGACCATCGGGGAATATATCGCACATGAATATTGAAGCAAAACTATAGATATAGACACTTGAAAGGAGGAATCACAAGTTGTGTTAAATGGGTTTTTTGTTTACAAAAAACCAACATAAACAAAAAACCAACAGGACATCCAATAGAAACGATTCCCACAAAAATAAGGATCGTCGGCTCAGGTCACTCTTTCCAAGTCTTGGCAACCATCTGAACAACGCGAATTTTGATGTTCAGCGTGAGATTCATGGGAGGGATCGGGAAGAGTAATATGGGCTTACCGAATCAGGAGGTCGAGTCTCCACTTTCTTCTTGCTAACGTCAGACCAATCGGTGCTCAAAGCCGTACCGTTACTTTCCACATAACTTTTCATCATCGCCTTCTTCTGTTCATCTGTGGCATCAGCATAAAGCTTTTGAAATAATTCATTGACAGCTCGGTCTCCTCCGGCGTTGGGATCCCTGAAATGCTTCCCTCGTCAATACTGTAGGTGGCTCATGTGGGGATGATCAAGAAATCGCAAGAATCAACCCACTTGAGGTTCTTGATTACTTCCTCTTCTTCCTTTTCAACAGAATTCGCCAGCTGATCCCAATTGGTTTTTCGGCGGGCTGATGAGGGATAGGCGGGCTGTCGGGTCACATCAGTGGCAGTGCTTGATTCTGGATCCAAATTTCAAACACATTAACAGTCAAACCCAGATAGTCAACCGCGACAGGTATTGTTATGGAATGATAAGTGAACTGGCCTTACCTTGAAGGATTGTTGGAGCAGGTAAATCGGCCTGATCTCCTTCGATAACCAGCCACTTGATCCCAGGGACTTTCTTCTTTAGTCGAATGCTACAACAGGAATTCAATTGTTAAGCGAGGGATTTCTCTCCTTTGTTTAGGGTAAAGGATATTTGCCCAATCGATCTTCAGAAAACTCAACTCGATTTTCGAAGGCAGAGATTTCCACGAACATTGCGATGGTTCAATTTCGTAGCTCAGAGGGTCCAGATCAAAACATCCCTCGGAACCGTTGGTCGGTAGCTTATAATTTAGCGAGATTGAACGTGGCCCAAAGTCGCAATTGATGTCCTCAGACTTGGTGTTTTTAACAAAGACGGATAGGACGACTTCAACATCTGTTTGATACCACTCATGGCTTTTCAAACAAAACTCTCGTCAGCTCATCAGAAAAAAGAAAGTCGATTGTAATATCATCATGCGAACAATCTGATGAAAGTACTGCTCACCGAATCCTAGGCTGGGATTGAGGGTCAGGCGAGTCAGTCGCAGTTTGAGTCATGGCTGGAAACGCTTCTTGTCAATAACTTCTGGAGCTCTTTGGGTCGGTTGCAAGCGGGAAACGTCGGTCTCTGGAGGGAAAGATGCATGGGGCTAAGGCTCCTACCAGCAAAATTGAAATAGTGACGAACACTCCATTCGCATCTTTCCCTTTGTGTGGATCTATCAGATTCTAAAGCTTTCTAATTCGTTCTATGCAAGGTTCGCACCCCCATTGTATCCAAAACGCCGCCCTCTTAACTATCCCCTGGGCTTGTGCACCGGTATTCCATGTACACAAGCATTAAGGAAAAATAAAGGGAGCTGGTATCCCTCGTAGAAGCCCCAGGTCAATGTGGGTAGCAGCACTTTCATGGTCCATTGTTCTAGTGTTTTCTGATCTATTCAAAATAGTCCCAGAGATATCCGGGATCTGCGGGGTTTCGGTCGGTGATTCCGTCTCCGGGACAACTCCCGAGTCCTCAGGCCCCCGCGGACAAGGATACACAATGGCAGCTCCACATAGTTTTCAAGTGGATTGGGTCAACTCAGGTTCTGAGGCTGATTTGTTTTGAGAAGTGTGACTTGAGACACAAAATGTGCTCCTTTCTGGCCCTTGAGTGGTATGCTGACCCTCTGGGGCAGGACTTATGGCACCAAATCTACTTTTTTGAGAGGGAAGCCATTTTTTCATTTTTGTTTGTGAAATTTGTTGCTGCTAACATACTGGACACCCTTGACCTGACAATTTTGTATTCTGAGCATCATGCTCTATTCCTCTCCCTCCAAATGATTAAAAACAGGGAAATTCGTCGAGCATAAGATCCGACGGACAGCATTTATGCCTGGGTCATCTCATGCCACAGTTCCTCGCTTTGTGTCAGGACGAATGGTAAATGTTCAATACCTGACACTCGGCTTACACCACCGGGTCACTTCTTGTGATCGGTGCTGGTAGAACCAACATAGGAGGTAGCTGACCGTTCGCGCAACTCAGACCCAACGGTGAGGTTGGGGGAACGGTTGGACAAGGGCCCAGCCAACGGAGGCCACCCATTACCGTTTGCCCAACCATCCTTGGGTTGGACGCTGGGTGTCACAACCGACATACTCGGTTGGGCCAACGTTTGCATCGGGAGTCGATGGTTGACGGAGGTTGAACCGACGGTCGGTCTCTCCATTAGCCCAACGTTGAACCAACAAGGTTGGAGCGACTTGGACCAACCAGCTCCAGTCAGGCTGGAACTGAAACTCGCTATCAACGTTGCCATCTTGTTGGGCCAACGTCGGGAGAGTTTTTTTTTCGCCATGAAAAAGTACCCTCATTGTGATTCTTCCAGAAAACTTGATCTATAAAGACAAAAAAAAAAAAAAACTTGAAAGACTTGCTCAAAAAACATCCTTGTCCCGGTTCAAAGTTGCGAAGTGGCTTCACTTGGTTGGCAACATACAAAAAGTGATGTTGCCGAATGGTTTTACCTGGTCGCTCAAGTGAGCAATGCGAATGAAATGTGGCAATCGGCCTGGGTTCAAGCCTGAGGGTGATCCTTTTTACAGTGTGCCAAAGTGCCACCAACGTTGGGCCTGTTGTTATACAATATGCATTTATCTATATATTTATACTTTATATTTTTTATGTCTATACTTTTTCTCACACTAAGTCATTTTTTATATTCTACTATGTATTTACTTCTCATCAACCAAACTATGTACTTACAGAACCATAAATATCTCTCCTACAACCTTGAAATATATTCCTCTTGGGGGAGTTCTCTTCTTTTACTCGGATATCAGGATTTCTGGCTCAACAGGTTATGAGCCCGCGCTGTTACCAGCGGGGTTTACATCAATCTTAATCTTAAAGCTAAATCTTTCCTATCGCTTCATCTCGCTACCGATCCCACCCTTCTGTGGTTTCTAAAACTTGTCATCCTTTCGTGACAAAGTGTCACCCTTCCGTGATCTCTTATGGTTAACACTTGGTCCGAAAATCCAGAACTCATTACTCCAAATTTCACCGCTAGAGTGACTCCACCCCGCACGACGAACCCTTCCGTTGTCGACCGGTCTTTCGACGCTTCAATTTTCCAATCGGCTGAAAACTCTTTCATCGGTATGGCCGACAATTCTACCAACTCTCCATCTGTGCCTAGCGGGCAAAACCAAATCCCTTTCCCCTCAACATCCACCCCTCAACACACTCCTCAAGATCCTCCGATGACTCATCCAAGCACTCCTGAAGAACATGCGAACAGTCGGGAACCGGGCAAGTTGACCGAAGAGACCAAAGACGGCCAATCGATTCCGTCGCGTTCCCTGGAGCAAATCATCGCCGGGGAACTAGAGAAGTCAGGCCTCTCTGGAATCGACGATAACCTCTTGAAGGTTCTTTTGATCAGAAATTTGACTCGTAGCCATATCGACTCTGAGCAGGCGACTGTGTCGTCTAAGTCGCTCGTTTGAGACCACCTCAAGTGGCACCAACTAGGTAAAGACCTAGCGCCGCAGTTGTCGATGGATGGATCGAACTTTCCGATGTGGTCGGCATCCCTTCTGGACGTAGTGAGGAGGGTCACGGGCATCGACAAGTATTTCGATTTGGATCGTTCCGTTGTGGATTCGGCGACGGCGGCTGGTATCCTCACTCTCATTCAACAGTCAATCGATCCGATGCTGCGCTTGTCCCTCAACGGATTGAATGCGTATGGGGCCTACACTTCTTTGAAAAAGCGATTCGCAGCGACCTCCTGGTCTCTTCTCCTCAATCGATGGTCCGACATTGCACAGGCCCCAGATGCATCGGATTCACTCTCGTCCAGCTATGAGGCTATGAAGTGGAGCTGGTTAGATTTGGAGGAGAGATTGGGGGGTTTGACAGTAGATAAGTTATTGTCTCTGTCTTTCCATTCTTCTGTCAGGCAATATCACCAGACAATGGCTGATTCCATCAATGCTCGTATTGCCATTCAACCTGATCTTGCGGTCAAGTCAGAAGACCTTCTGCAAATGGCTACTCGGCTTCACCAATCGGCATCAGCATCTGGATCGGTCTCGGCCATGGCCATGACATCTCAACCCAATCGCTCAACCCAGTTGCGTGGTGGTCGAGGTCGCGGAAACTTCAGACAATCCCGGGGTTCATCTCGTCCCTCGCCTCAGCCTTCCCATTCTAATTCTGGATCGGCACCCCCTCCACCCGATAACTGGGCGCAACAGTATCTCACTCCGGCTTTTCCCTGCAACTTATGTTGGGAATGGGGTCACTGGGCTCCTGATTGCCCCAGAGTCAAGCAACACCTGCCGCCTCTTGAAGATCCCCGCAAGAACAATCCTTCATGGAAACCAAAGAAGTCCAATGTTCTCTCAGGTCGACTTTACAAGGCAGGCGAGCTAGCTTCAGTATCCGCTACTCCGGAAAATCCCGATGATCCTTTGTGCGACACTGGTGCAACCAATCATGTAACGTCCCATCAATCCTTTTTTGTTTCCCTGCGTCCGGCTAATGTGAAATTGCGGGTTGCTTCACAAGACCGCATTTCCGTAGACGGCGTAGGTGACGCAGTCATTCCTACTCGGTATGGAAGTCTTTATCTCAAGGATGTTCTGTTTGTCCCGTGCATCCGAGGAACGGTAATATCAGTCGGTTTTTTCGATCGATGGGACGGCAAAGTCGCTTTTGGAAATGGTGTTTTCTCTTTTTATCAGAATGGTGTTTCTTTCCCGACATACGTCAAAGACTATCGGTGGTTTATTCCTTCCCCCTCATCTACTGTCTCGGCCAATTTATGTGATTCTTTACCTTGTCTTTCGGCTATCTCCTCTCCTTCTCTCTGGCACACTCGCCTTGGTCATATCGCTGTCCGTTTCTTCAATCGTACTATCAACAAACAATGTGTTTCTGGAATTCCTATCAAGAAGTTACCTTCACCGAAATCTAAATGCCATTCTTGCTCTCTTGCTAAAAGTACGCACAGCCCAGTGCAATCCCCTTCACGTGACATTGCCGAAGAAACTGGTGACATGGTTGCTATTGATTTGGTTGGACCTTTTCCGGAGGCACTAGACGGCAGCACTTATGGTTTAGTCATTCATGATGTTCATTCAAGGTTGACCTCAGTTGTTGGACTCAAAAACAAGGCAATGGCGGGCAAAGCGGTCATGGACTGGATACTCGAATTCAATCAACGAACACCTCACACAGTCAAGTCTATTCGATCGGATAATGCTGGTGAATTTACTTCGAACAAGTTCAATAAATTTTTGACGGAGCACCAGATACGCCATGAATTAAGTATTCCATATGAACATCACCAAAATGGGAGTGTTGAACGCACTAACCGCACTTTATTGGATATGGCACGCACGTTTATTGTTCATGCCAAGTTGCCTAATTCCCTTTGGTTTCTTGCCATGAAACAGGCTTGCTTTATTTTCAATCGAGTGGTCCACACTGGTGCAGACAAGTCTCCTTACGAAATTGTGATGGGAAAACGCCCTTCTCTTGACATGGTCCGTGTTTTTGGTTGTCAAGCATACCTACATGACATCAATTACAAAAAGCAATTCATTCCTCGATCAACAGCTCTTATTCATGTTGGTATACTGGACGAGTCACATGGTTGGTTGCTTTGGGATCCTGTATCCAAGAAGCTGGAAAGGGGTGCATCAGTAATCTTTCACGAGGACGATTTGCCATCCCAGTTGACCAATTCTGGTAGTGTTAATGCGGTTCTCAATTCCATCCGAGTCGACAGGCTAGGAGATTTTCGTCAAATTGAGGAACTTGAAATTCAGGATGCGTGTCTTGCTTCCGCTGTCTCGGTCTCTCCTTTCAGCTCCGACGCTCCTTCAACTCACAAACAGGCATTGGAATCAAGTTATCGTGCGGAATGGTCAGCAGCAATTGACGCCGAAATTGGCATGATGATACAGTTGGAGGTTTGGGAGGAAGTTCCAGAAGCCGAGGGTCAAGACATCCTTACATGCCGCTGGGTTTTTGCGCTCAAGAGGGATCAACTTGGTGAAATCACAAAATTTAAAGCTCGAATTGTTGCACAAGGTTTCAAGCAAGTCCATGGCCGAAACTTCAGTGAAACATTTGCCCCCACACCAACTTTTTCATCTCTTCGGCTCTTACTCGCCATGGCTTCTTACCACAGTTGGCCAATTGCGTCTTTTGATGTTAAAAGTGCATTTCTTCACAGTGATATCGACCACGATGTCTATATTCGCCCACCCCCTGGTGTTAAGGTCAGCCCCGGTTGCGTACTGAAACTTCGCAAAGCCCTCTATGGTACTCGTCAAGCCGCTCGCTGCTGGTGGTTACATCTGAAATCTCAGTTGGAAACAATTGGTTTTGTCCCAAATGTTGAGGATCAGTCCACTTATGTGTATCAATCAGGCGATGATCGTGCTTTCTTATGGGTGCATGTGGATGACGGACTCTTCACCGCCAGCTCGACACAACTCTTGGAATCCTTGAAGGCTTGTCTTTCCTCCGTTCTTGATTTGAAGTGGGATCAATCTTTATCCAGCATTGTTGGCCTCCGCGTCCGTGAAACTCCAGGCGGGTTTCTGATTGATCAGCCTATGCTTGCCGAGAAGATTGTCAACCTTCAACCTTCGACAATTTGTACCCGGACCCCGATAGCGTCAACCGATCTTGAGTCTAATTTCTCTGACGGCTCAATGGATAGGGATTACCTATCCAGAATTGGATGCTTATTATATCTTGCTCAAGGTTCCCGACCCGACATCACTTTTGCTGTTCATTTCTTGGCTCGTTTTTCAATGAAGCCTGATTCCACTCATTGGGCTGCTCTCGATCACCTCATCTTGTACATCCGATACAGCAAAGATCTGGCACTTCCAATTGTGGCCGCAGGCAATTTCAAGGATGGCATTCAGACATACGTTGATGCAAATTGGGGAGGGGAGGCCTCTAGATCGGTACATGGTTTCATTTCAACTGTATGGGGGGCTCCAATCTTGTGGTCTTCGAAGAGGCAGACCTGCGTCGCTCGATCGACATGCCAGGCTGAATACATGGCTTTGTCTTTTGCTTCCAAGGACGCTTGCTGCCTGGCTTCTATCATTTCTCCTTTCTTTCGTCTACCACCTCCTTTACTCCTCTGTGACAACAAGTCAGCGGTTCAAATCAGCTCCGATTGTGGGACACGCAAAGAGCATCGACACGTTGATCGCGAGTTTCATGCCATCAATGAGCTTCTGTACCATGGCCGGGTTCGTCTCGAATGGATTTCAACTCATCATCAACTTGCCGATATTTTCACCAAGGCTCTGGGATGGAGGAAGGTTTCTGAGTTTTTGTCACTCATAGGACTGCGGAGACAGTCCAACACCTTGGCAAGTAATAGGGGGGAAGTATGCGCTGGCTGCGATGAACATGCACCCCCCGCATCTGTTTGTCTCCCTCCGCAACCATTAATGGTTACACCAGGCTGATTGGTTCATACAGAAGCTAACCATGCTGTTGTTATATTTTGCAGACTTCTGTCCCAATCAGAACGGTTTCATTTCTCTTGTGGGGCTTTGCTTATTCTTCCTTATCTTATGATTTCAATCATTTTTATTTCTTTTACTTTTTCTCTCCTAATGTTACATGTTACTCTCATGTTTTTCTGTCACTTGATAATTCCTTTTCTATATATTTTTCTTCCTTTTTTCTTCATGATTTCTGTTTCATTTTTTCTTGCTTTATTCTATTCTTCATCACTAATTTCTGTATTCATGCATTCTACTTTTCTCACCAAATCTTTATCCCAAGACAGATTTTTATTTCTTCTTCTTTTTTCTTTTTCTATCCTTGGTGGTTGATGAGGGGGGGAGTGTTGTTATACAATATGCATTTATCTATATATTTATACTTTATATTTTTTATGTCTATACTTTTTCTCACACTAAGTCATTTTTTATATTCTACTATGTATTTACTTCTCATCAACCAAACTATGTACAGTCTCCTCCCAGATGTTTATAGCCATCTGCTTTGAGCTCCACAGCGGGAACCCAAAAACATCAAGTCACAAGATTTTGTGGAATGGTGGAAAAGGGGTTTCAAAGAATGAATATGAAAAAATAATAATAGAAAAAAAGATTTTAAAATTTGTGAAAAAGATAAAAGAAAATCAACTTTTTTTGAAAACTTTAATTTTTTGTTTGAGTGAAAAGTGAACACACAGAGTGCAAGTTTGGAACATGAAAAGAATGATTATAAATGAAAAATATTGATCCAAAAAAAAGTTTGAGCATGGTGGGTGGACACCCTGCAGTCAAAATCAGTAGATTGCAGTACCAGAATGCCACATCTCTTGATGAATGACCCCCTAGACACCCTTTTTAAACCACCAAGTAGTCATTTTCTTCCAAATTTTCACTTCTTATTATTCATTCCAGATCTCATACTATCAATTTGGAGATATCATCTTTTCCTGAACGAAATA